AACTGCCGACCCACGCCATATATATCCACAATATTATTTTCTAAAAATGTGTTGATATCAGTTCTTGTAAAACTGAACACTGATATAGATTATCATTAAATAATTGATGTTCTTTGGAAACTATGAGATTAGTATAGGAACATTGTTTTCGTGGGTTTTTTAGAATTGTCGCTACAAGTGCAATATAATTTTTATTTATATTTATACATTAGTTTTAAAGACTGAAATATGTAAAAAAATTATCCACAGAGTTCCATAAATGATAATTCCATTGTTTTTAAATATAATTTATAAATGTTAATTTTTAAAGTTATGACGAAAAGAAGTTATTTTTAAGTTAGAAGGGTTCGAACAGTAATGAAGAAACAACAACAACAATTTTAATTAGTTTATTGAGATTTGGCTGTTTCAAAACAAAGCTGTTTCGTATTTTTGAATATAATATATATTTGTTCTTACTGCAATAGCAATATGTCAGTCATCAAACCAATTCTACTGTTTTATTGTTAACAAATTTTATTCATTTTAAATTTGTAGTTGTAGCCTAGGTCATGGACCTGCATTTCTGGCTGTTGACATAAACAACCATTAGTAAGCCATTAGTATAAATAGATTATAGGACAAATACGTTATCTAGATACATTAATTTAAAAGGACATAGGTTAAAATCCGATATATGAACAACTATAACTGTTCTAATAACTTCTCAAATGAAACAAATAAATGATACATGATACAAATAAAATTTTCAAATTTGTAGTAATCGGGTTTTATTTTTACTAAAATAACCATTGGTACACAATGTGAAGTTAAAGATTTTGGGAAAAAATTTGATAGATTACTCACAACAAATTAGTACTATGAATAAATCTAAGAATAATAGTTCAGATAAATAAATCTTTAATATACTCCATAATACGAAGAGAAGGGTGAGATGGAGTTTCTATATCTCTTTCCTTACAATGATAGGATACGAACAGATTTGGCAGAGTTGATTTTCTCAATTTGTATTTAACAAATCTGTGTTACGAATGTCTATTAAACCCATTATTTATAGTTATTGTTATTGATCTGAGTTCAAATGTATTTAGTCAGAAAGATTGTCAGCATTTTTCTTGTTTACCCAAATGAATCCAATGTTACTACATATTGACGCATTCTGATAAGTGAATAATCTTCTGAAAAGTCTGATTCTTATGAAAGATGTTAAGACACCAGCTTTCACAAGCTTATCAACTATTACGTTTTCATCAAATTTCTAGTGACCAGATAATTAAAGGTGTGTTACTTTTTTCGTAGTAATCAACTGAGATGTAGGACTTTTCAGCTTTGAACCATAAAATTTAGTGGTGCGAACTCGGAAAACTTTTATAGCTACAAGTAATTGGGCAGTAATTTATTATAAATGAACTGTTCTAAAACGTAGATCGGCTATATTATACTCTAAGTTTTCTCCTAAGTTTTAAAAAAAAGAACATGATATTTTGCAGCATTAGAAATCATCCTTTATTCCTACAATTAAAGCGCTTAAAAAGTTTTTATTACATTCATATCCACTAATAATAGATGAACTATTGAAGTATTTTGAATGTTTTAAAATATTTTATTCACATAAGATTGTTTGAAATATTTTTAATAGGTTTTATGATAATTTTATAGCTTAACCAGAATCATCACTCCATGATGATCATCACTTTCACAGAATTAATAAACAAACTATATCGTAAGTACCACTTATGCCTAGTTTTCGCACCCACTTGCTACCATATTGTGATATGCTCAAATTAGATTGTTTACCATATATAAAACAAAATTGAGACATCAATTAATCATTTCAAATCATCACCAGACTCATTAACATGGAACACACACAATATGGATGCGGTTATGTTTGGAGTTTGTGTTTACTTTTCGAATATAAACAGCTCTCATTATATATGTGTATTATTGCTCTTAATTACTTTGAATACATATCATATAAGTATGTATGTTTGTATAAATAAATGATATTAGTTTTAATTTTTATAAATAGATTAATATAAATATGTATAGAAAAAGATATTTGATAAAGAGCCTATGAATCTAATAAATTTCAATTGTGTATCTAAATATATATTAGCTACTTTAGCTTCATGGTTGTCTTAGATCCGTTTCTTGCTGCTTCAAATTTAAATTGTATATCTAAATACATAATATTAACTTCTGTAGCTTCATGGTTGATAGATCTCTTTCTTCTTGCTCCATTCTAATATTCCGAAAGTTTTGTCTTTGTGCATATGTTGAAAGGTATTGTATTTTTGTCCATTCCACGAAACAGTGTATGATTGAAAAGTGATTGCAGGTTTCTATTCTGGTCGGTTCTTCGATCATTCTGGTCAGTAATACTTTGAACTTCAACTTCTTCTGGTAACCAAGCACCGAGAATTTATTGTGTAAATTTTTTTAGTATGAAAATAAGGTCAAATATTTTTTGTTACTAACAGGCGAATACAATGAGATATAATATACTATATATCCATTTAAAATGTATTCATTAAATATAATATGATTGTGTTCTATTAGTAACTCAAATATTAGTAAAACTATAACCTTATTGTAAAGACCGACTAATTTACAATTATAAAGCTATTCTATTTTATTACTTTTATTAGTCAACCCTAAAGGTTGATATTATCTATATAAAAATACAACACGTTTAGGATAATCACTGAATTTGAATAAAAATGGAAGCTTAAAAGTTATAATAATTTATTTCTTTAAAACATTGGTTCCCAACCATTTATTGACTAAGGATCACCACGAAATTTTTTTTTTTTTGGGGTCCTAAAATTTAAGAATAATAAACTGTTTGGTTATTTTAATATAGTTTATATATCTTTGATGTAATTATATACACATAATATAGGTATACAAATACTTGTAAATTTTTTGTGCTTATTTTCTAATAAGTTGGATCTCAGTGAACAAATTACAAGCTATGCATCCATACCTCTTTAATTTGATTCATGGACCATTTTTAACCATCTCCCGGACCAACGGTTGGGAACCACTTATTTAAAATCAATCAATCACAAATCTAATTTATTATGATATGATGTTTTTTATTTATAACTCTATGCATTTTTATGGTTTAATAAAATAAATGTTCTTATCCGTCATTTATATCTTAAATATTCCATAAATATACTTCAATTCTTGTAGTTTCAATAGAAGAAAATGGAAGAGTAATGACTTTTTTAAATTAAAGTAACTCAATAAGAGGTGCTAGTGATTATATATTCAGATTACTATTATAAGTATATTCTTCCTCTAGTTGTTCTTACAAAAAACTTATGTCTAAGTTAACTGACACGAAAAAAATTTAAACATTTTGACAATTAGACATAAGGAGTTCGACATTAGTCATGGGCCAATATCAAAAGCTTAAGGCAATTCAAACAGTTCGTTTGGATCAATACAAATGCTGACAAGTTAATCAATCGAAATCGAGTTGAACTCAGAATAATCGCTAACTAGTTTAATAACAGGAAATCATCTTTCCAAAACCAGATTAAGGAATATTAATACTTGTATTCGTTGTAAATTGCAGAGCAAAACCTTTTTCAAATGATTTTTATCATATCAAAACTTGAACTTAAAGTACATTGTAGGTTAATATAGATTAATGTGACAGTCGGTATATGTTAGTTGACCAACTTATTTAAACCCTACGAGTTCATTATGTATTTCCACTCTATTACTTAAAAAACTATTTGGAGGCTCTTATGAAAAGCAGGATGTTTTTAATCCTAGCGCTGGACACGTCTCTGAAAGATTGAAAGACAAGTTTCCCTAAAAAATTCATCCTGCTTCTAGCCAGTTCCGGGTAGCTATAAAAGAAGTGTGTTACCAAATTAAAGCATGTCTCTGAAATTGCCAGTGACTAGGTATACAGTGAACGGTTACACCTTAGAGATATGCTCTCTTGTTTTTCGGCCCTCGGTTTTCTTCTATCAAATATTGGCTATATTAGCCTATATGTTACACAGATGTTTCTATTAAAAACATATTATATAAAAGTTTTATAAATATATGTATAGTGTTTAATACATTTTTTATTAGATGATAATTTTAAAAATAATATATATATATACACACATATACAAAAAGTTATAAATAGCCAACATGTTAAAGAGTGACTAAATAAATATTAATTTCAATAAATTTAATAGATAATTTAATAATAGATATAGTTTCGTTAAAACAAATTATAGTAGGATCTTGAAGACAAATTATTTGTGAAGAGAATGAAATTAAATTTGGTATTTGAGTTCATCAAAGTTAATGAAATCATTTAGGGCCATGAACTGGTTCTGAGACGAACAGCTTTTGAAGTAGTACCACCGATTTTTTAATTGAATTGAACCATTATGAGTTACAAATTCCACTTGGATTAATTGGTACGGAGAGAAATCAGTTTTAACTGAATCAATAACCTAGAGCAATGTTTCTTAATCCTAAAGGAAATGCGTACTAAAAAAATATTCAATGGAAATTTACAAGAAGTGAAAAAATTGTCAATGTGTTTTACAAGGACCGAGGCCATTCTTCTTGTGAGCACTTGAATTAATAAAGATTCAGGTGCAATGACAAATTAAAACAGAGCACCCAAGCCGGATGGCAGGATCGTTGCCTTTTTGACATTGCTGCTAGCCAGACCTCAGACTATGCCCAGATGGCAATATTTGTTTCTGATATTTTCCCCAAAAAAACAGATATTGTGGAACAGATATGCTGCTACTGAAAAAATAATATCGTTAGAGTCGATATAAAATAAATATTTTATAGACCTGCAGTTCACAACTTTTATATCTATTTGTTATTTGATTTCCCCCAAACTATATGAATCTAATGTATTTATGATCATTCCTATATATCTAAGAATTTCGTATATATAATTTAAATACAGTGTTTTATACATATAGTACAGATATTGAGTGAATACTATGTGTAAAATTTTATTAAATAATATATTAAAGTTTAAGCTTATTAAAGTAATGCCGTCGGAGCGCTGGCTTGACTTGTTATATTATGTGCCTGACTTGGATGATGGAGTTGTAGAGGTTGATGGTGACTGTGTTGAAATCTTCTAGGATGAGAATTATGTTGATTAAAATTTTCATACATGCAATTGGTGGAATAATCGCACACATCCGATATCGAGTTATCACTCATATACCAGTGTGTGGATGATGATGTGGAGTTTAAATGTCGAGGTTGTGTGTAGTTATTATCAGGTTCTATGCGCATTGGCTTCGGAAGCACATTAATATCTTGTCCGTGTTGCCAATCCATGGTAGAGTACTGAAATGACATTTGGCGACTGTTACTTGGTATATGATGTAGACCAAATGGCCAGGACTGAAATAAGAAGAGATAAAAAGAAAATATAAATATGTTTGTCTTTGTTATTTTATGGTAGCAATAAAATTAGAAATAAGTATCTAACTGAAGTGTAATTCGTCAAAAATTGTTTATTTATCTTTTAGATGCAAATAAATTTTCCCTTTTCAATATTAGGGGCGCTTAGCAAAACAATAAAAGGATCTATAATAATATAAGAAAAATAAACTACAAAGAAAAAGAAAAGTGTGCAACCAAATTGTTGCGGAATTAACAAACAAAAAATGAAATAAAACAAAAGAAAATAAAATAAAATAGAAAAAAGGGAAAATTCCCTCTTCTGATATAGTAAATAGATCACACGAGTCTTGCACAATCTGTTCCAACTGTTGTGTGATGTGGATTTGATTTTCTAGCGTTTGTTTACACTTAAAAAGTAAACATCATCATTTCAAGCAGAAAGCATGGGATTTGAATGTGATGATTAGAGCACTACGGAAAATCGCAAATTGGGTAGGCAACTTAGTCACAAGATTCTTATGGAATCCCAAAGAAAATCAAAAAACAATTAAAAAATATTTAAATTTATTTTTTATTGAACATATGGTATAGTGTGGAAATACTGGGAAAGGGATGATTAGATTACGGATGTGAAGGTATAAATTAAGTAATCATCATAATTAAAAATATGTTGTATCTGAGATATTATTATTATTATTATTATTAAAAGTTTAAGCATGAAATCGCCCAACAGCCGGTACTGTGGCCAGAAGAGTCCCATTGTACCAGTTTCACTATTGATTACACAAAACCGCTTAAATCTTTGTGAATAAAATCTAGAACTAAAGCTAGAGAAGAGTTCTTAATATGTTCTGATGAAAGTAGTTTCCTGGTGCTTTCCTCATCTTCCAGGCATAATCTGCATTCCGAATTAGCAGATAGTTGTAGTTTATGAAGGTAGTATTTTAGTCCATAATGACCTATCAGGAAACCCGTTAGCAGCCTTAAATTACATTTTGCGAATTTAAGGATGTCTTTGCAGGAAATCTGAGATAAAGCAAGCATATATTCTTAATTTCAAAATGCTTAAAATTAATTAAATCACTTATTTATACTAATTAAAAATATATTTTAATATGTATTATAAATGATATATTTATTAATATAATTTTTACATTTCTAATTAATTGTTCATATGATTGTCGCATTACAGTACCATTGATCCATATCGAATAATCATAGCACATTTAAATATTTATCCTAGATGACAAATCATTTTAAAAGTGCTTTCAAAGATGGATTTTGAAAGAAAATAAATGCTAAATATTTTTTATTTTCTTTAAAAATGTCCCCAAAACCGCCGACAGTAAGCAATCTTAGCTGTCTTTCGCGTCATACAGAAAATCTACAAAAATAACATGACAGACTTTTCTAAACTTAAGTGTACTTGAAGATGAAATTATCTGTCATATTTTTAGTTGAAATTCATAAAAATATCACGTTACAGGAAATTTAATTTTAATTTTGCTCTCTGTGATATATTTCTATTTAGAGATTCATTATGTGACAATATAGTAAGTAGGAAAAATAATAATTTGTTTAGTTAATACAAAAAAAAATTATTAAATTCTTTAGATACATTATAACAAGATTTATTTTTGAAAGATTTATTTTATTAACTACCACCTGATAGAATAAATTATTTAGTAATCATATTTACTATAGTCATAGTAAATGAATAATGAAGAATAATGAATTATTAATTAAGAATAAGTGTCAACACTGGGCATAAATTGACACAACTCAAAAATAGATATCCCATTCAATGTTTACTGCAGAACCTGCTGTGATGAGATGAACGAGTAGACCTTAAAACATCTCTGTTCACACGTAGTATATAATAATGTCAATGTTGTTGTCAATGTTTCTTTATCAAAGCTATTGAGGTCTCTCACATCAACACAATGGTTTAACGTGGGTTGACTGTTTTACGAGTCCTACTGGCATCATGTGATATCATAACAGGCCAATTTGGCTTAAGTCTGTCGAGTGTCAACTCAAGAATTCGACGACTATGTTCACCTAGCAACATACCTATTCAAAAATAAATTAAGTTTTGTTGATGTAATTAAAAAATAACGTTCCTAACTAAGGCTACCTCAAGTACAACAATATACAATTGATATCAATTCAATATGATATACGATAATGAATATTCCATAATTAAATACATGAGGAATCAAAGACTAAAATGAAATGGTTTCATAAATACGTCAAAAAAAATTGCAAAAGAGCATTTATGAAGTTAGCAATGACTGGAATGGAATGGAACACTATCGTGCAACACGGGCAGATCTTTCAAGGACTGTTACGTCGGTAAAAAAGAATAAAACTTAGGAGCATGCTGTACGTAATATGTTGACTAATAATACTTTATGCCTTATTATTTATTTAAATCAATAGAAAGTAAATTTTTAAAAATATGTTTATAATTTAATTTAATTTTTACACACGCAAAACTGCACTGATAAACCTTTGCATATTTACTAGAATTACGACATCTACGATTTTAATTTCATTCTGATTAAAGACTGGTTGAAAATGCAGTTGCAAAAAATATTTACATGATACTTGGTACTATTATGTTGGAATAGTAGTTCAAGTACTCCCTAAATTTATAAAAATGTCGACTATAAAATCTACAGATTCCAGATAGATTAACTCTAACTGATATCGCTTGGGACTAATAGGTCGGTATTTTGCTTATAGTTGGCCAAATTAACCTAACATAGAAAAATGTTCTGATTATAATTAGAAAGTATTGTAGGTGAGTATCCTTTTTTGTATGTTAAGATTATTATTATACAAGTCTAGAAAAGGGTCAATATAGTCTTTGCGCAGGAAGAATTTTTGTTTCTAATACATGCCATCCATTTGAAATATTAATCTATTGTTAATATCTTATATTTTATATAGTCCCCAATTATATATATGTTTATATTATATTGATGTTGTTAAATAGAAGTTTAATATAGGATGCATGATTTATCTTATACATAGAATTGGTTTCATATCTAATATCATAATTGTGTAGATATTGCATATATGTTAGTATAATTGAAGAATCGTCTGAGTAACATTTTAATATATTCCATTTTTTGCCTATTCGGTGTCACCTCTCCTATATGCTGTCATGACTTTCCTTTGATTTCCAAAGCGATATTTTGGTAGAGTTTGATAGAAAGACAGAGCAATTTTTAATACAATATTATTATTTTTCATTGGATTTTATAGTTAAATCGAGATTAGTAAATTTTTAAAGGTTCCAATATTATTGAAAAGAATAACAGGGCTAGAAACATTTATACCTGTTTAATAAAATCTGAGAATCTATTTTATATGGCAGATTGTCGAATAAGTATATTCTTCATTTTTTAACTGATGTCATTTATCGTAAAATCCCTCAAATCATACCATGCAATAGATGTTTAGCTTGCAGTAGATGTTAATAATTTTTAACTGTTAATTTTGTATATATAGTTATATACACATTCAATACATCCATGAATCTTAAAGAAATTAAAAATAATAATTTTAATTCGCTTTTGATACACCTTTATCACCATCATTATATGTAACATTAAAGAATCGATTGTATCGAAAATGGTTTCGGAGGAATACGTTTACCTTAGCAAGAGTATCATTAATATTTAAAAATATTTCGTAAGGGAGAGAGGAAATCTTATATACATTGCTGTTGTTAAAATTATTTTTAAATTATATAAAACAATTAAATAACCTTCAAAATGTGAACAATGATTACATTTCAGATAATAAATATTAAGAGTATTTAGCTGTAGTCGATGAGTACAAATTAGGATGCATTCTTCCAACATGCAACAGCTTAAGATGCCATTTGACATTGCGCCACCAATTGACGAGTTACACCTGTGAACATGCAGCTGTAAGTGTGAAAACACGAATATGTGTACTCGTATGTCCACAGAGAAGACCCCGAATTTGTAGACATGAGAAATCTAAGTGATGCCACTGACACCACTTAAGCATAAATGTTCGTCCCAAACCACAAATCTTGTGAGAGTATTTGCGGGGTGTATTCCTGAATGCTGCTGTTTAAAAGTTATTGAATGCGTTAATTACGATGTGTGACATTTTTGGAGGACGGAAGTTATTCGGTCAATTTTTCTTAACAAAATCTATTAATATATTTATTTGAAAACTAAAATGAAACTATTTATTGTTTAGTTCATTCACTTATAATTTTTTCTATAAACATATTAGCATAATTTATAAAAAATTTATATTAATGCAAATATAATCTAACAAAGAGTGATGAACTTGACTACCCAGCATTTACCCAAATACCGTAAAAGTTTATTTATTTCATTTCTTTTAAATAAATAAATAAATAGATAAGATAATAATAATATTTTAATAATTAAATAACATATATATTCAAAAATGAACAATTGGGTATAAAAAAGAAATTGACTTTCAAATACGGAACCCTCATTCAGTTTGTACTACTATATCGTATATGTTCACACTGATATTTTCTTGATTTGCTGTTTTTTATTTATTCATTAAAATTGCATATTCATTTGTAATTGAATTTAATTACTTACCATATTTTGTGAACTATTCGACATATTAAAAATACTGTTGTGTTCTCCAATTATTCCAGAACTGAAATTTTCACCATGACTTGAATCTCCTTCAACAGCTGCTTTAAGCTGTTTAATATATATTGTAGCTAAACGTAAAGTATCTAATTTAGAAAGTTTGGTATCGGGTGGAATGTTAGGAAGTTTTGTTTTGAGACGTCCAAAGGCACTGGAAAGAACACGCATACGTGCTCTTTCACGTGCGTTTGCTGCATTTCGCTGCACCGGCGGGTTTCCACACTTGGAACCTATAAAAAAGCAAGTACAATAAATATATATTTGTGATTTCAGCGTTATGACATATAAAAAATTAGGATAATACTTAACTTTTTTATTCTAACTACTATAATCGTCTTGATAATAATATATGTTTGTAATAATATTAATATAATATATCAAATAAAATATATGTTATTCAAAATAATAGGTTAGTCTATTCTTTACTTAAATTAAATTTACATTAAATTTAAATTTAAATTTACCTAAATTGTTTACAGGTGGGGCTAGACAGGAAAAAGTAACATCATGAACAAAGAAGATGGGGTAACATATGCAGAATTAACAACATACCTCGGAAGCAGTATAGACGATGTTATTACCAAAATTACCAGATCATGTGATTTCGTTCAATTGAAAAAGATGAATTTGTAGCCATGTGTATAAAGTTTTAGATATTCGTTTTAGATAAATTCTTAACATAGATCAGAAATACCATAATTTTAAGGTATCAGAAATATAACATTCCTTGGCGTAGCATTCTTGGAAAATTATAACTTACTAATATAATTACTAAAAGTATGATTTGTGCAATACTCCTTAGAAACATCGACACTCCGGAAAGATTGCTGATATTTGGAATATCAATTATTGGTACAATACAAGAAGAAAATGCGAATTCTAAATTTCGATAAATTAACAATATTGGGAATATGACAGGGAATCTGAAATGATTTACTGAAGAATGCCATTGATAATTTTAAATTCACATTTATATAATATTAAGGAGGGATAATAACTAAGATAGTGTAAAGAGGTCGAGCTAGATTTAAAGAAGATTAGTATTAGCAACACGGTAGATGCTACGAATAAAGAACTCATATAAAAACAAATTAGTTTGCAAATCTGATTGTGATGAGATACTAAAAAAGAAATAAATAAATGTATAAATAACGACGAGGCAGATTTGGATAAGAAAGTATTGGATATATAGATGTTGTGATTACAAGGCCCATATGAAGACAAACTGGTATGCACATCAGAACAAAGATGATGATAATGTTGAGATGTTAATAGATAAATAAATAAACCAGAAAATATATACCTAATCTTTGGCAATGACTTTGAAGGTAACTGTTTTTGATTCTTTCTTTATAATGTTGAAGACTTATTGATATATTTAATTGTATATATAAAATAAAATAAAATATAAAATAAAATAAAATAAAATAAAATAAAATATAAAATAAAATATTAATGGTTATATTCTTTTGATGTATATTTTTTTGATATATTGATATTAAAAACTTATATATAACTTTTATAGCTTTTGAATATATTTTAGTAAATTTTTATCTTCAAAATGTTAACTTTTTTTGACTTTTTGCTCAGAACGAATTATATTTATTATTAAAATTAAAGCCACAATTTTTTGTTCTAATTTTTTATATAAATATTTTATTGTTTATATAATGAATAAATCAGATATAATAATGTATAAATATTAAATATATAATTAAATATATAAAATAAATAAATTAGAAAATAGTTAAAATATAAGTTAATAGAAAATCAGATATATAAAGTGTGATATAAACAAAGAAATAAAAAATAAAAAATAAAAAAATAAAATATCATAAATGAATAATAATAAATAATAAATAAATATATATTTATATATAGAATGCCAAAATAGACAATAAACTAAAATATAAATAAAATATAAATAAATTAAAAACAAATATATAAAAAAAGAAATATACAAATAAATAAGAAAAAAATATATTATTAATAAATTTATATAAAATAAATTAATATATATCTTATACATATATGCCTATAAGATAGGACTAGTGATTTAAATACTTACTTTGAGAACTCGTATCCTCATCGAAATCATCATCGAATATGTCAAATGGACTTGAAGAACGCTTCTTTCGTGGCATATTAATACTTTTTATATATAATAATAGTTTTTTGAAATATTATTAAATTATAAATTTTTATATGAACTTAATTAAATGTATGTGTACTTATATGTAATTTTTTTTTAATTGGAATAATTTATTTATTTATAATTTTATTATAAATTACTTGCATATCTCATTATAGACTTATACGTTTATTATTTTCTATTATTAAAACCTTATTGTTATATACATAATTTTATTTTAATTTTTTAATAAATGTATGGAATTTATTTTTCTTTACACACTAATTTTTTTTAGTTCATTTATAAATTTGATTCGTAAAATTTATTATAATTAATTAAGTTCTGAAATCACTTTCACTTCTTAGTCGTGCGCAGTAAGATTAAATCAAAATATCGCGTCCCATCTTACATCGAGAACCGTGAAGGAGTACGTACTACTTTCTTCTGAACTTATTTCGATTAATGCAGAGCATAGACATTTCTCATACGTTTGGTTTTGTTTGTCTACGATTTTTTCTAGGACTATTTTTAGCATATGTGGGAGGAGATTCTCTTCATAAGATTTCATGTTTAATTCCGACACAATTCTATTGGTACATGGTCTGAGTATGTAAAAGATAGACGAATGGAAATGTAAATACGAATGATTTGTGGAGGATGTGCACATATGTAGAATTACAACTGAATATATTTATTTAAAGTGTTTAATTTGGTAGAAGCATGCAATTTTACTTTGTATATATGAAATATCGTATGGTTTTGGTATCATCGTTTTAAAGATGGACAAATACCAGATTGGCTTTCTTAAAGTTGATTGCTAACATATTGTTTTGATAAATAGCCTCATAGAATTGTTTATTTGTTTGTTTATTAGTTTGTTTTTATTGTATGTATCATTAAAGGCGGAAGATACAAATAATATCTTTGAATCATTTTTATTTAAATATATCCAAAAAAAGTGTTTTTGTTTTGAGGTCCAGAACATTTAATTTTTGTATTTCTTTTTTTAATATGAAAACATTTTTAGTATATAGTAACAGTTGTAATGATCTTATGAATAAGAATCTAAACAATAATATGCCTTATAACGGCTGGTATAACGAAAAATCACTTATTAGATATTTATAAAGTCATTTTATATTTATATTTAAGTCAATTTATATTTATAAAGCCATAATGCCATCACTGACTTAAGCATTTTATACTACTAAATATTCCTTGTTATTTTAAAGTTGAAAATTTTACAAATATTGTTTATAGGACCTTATATTGTATATAATATTATCATTACTAAGAGTACCAGATAAATAAAATATTAATTTATTTGTAAAGGTTTCAACATTTTTTTTTGCAGCTTCTCTGCAAAAAATGTTGCGAAGAAATAAGTACTTGTCACTTTAATATATAAACTTGAAAGACAATGGAACTTATTTCTTGGAAAATTTAAATTATATTTAATATTAAAGCAATATACGATGGCCCATAGTAATCAGATAATTGGGTAGCTGCACCTCCACTCGCCTAAATGTAGTAAATCATTTGCGAAGGTATGACCTTGTGTATGAGCAATTACTGATTTCTAAATAATTGGACTACAGTATTTATAATAATTTGTTTATTTAAACTAAATTAGTTAGACAATAACCTAATCGAATAAATTCAGACAAAAATTTAAGAAATAATTATATCTTGAGCGAATCTGTTTAATTCATTTATTACAAAACTAACAATTACTAGGTATATACATATATGCTGTATGCTGTATATATATTGGTCACGCCGATTACACAATTCAAAAATATAAACTAAATTTATTGAACAAGTATCAAGTACCAGGAAAAAAATATTTAATAAATAATAAACAAGAATAAAAAATATAAGCCGCAAGCATGCCCTCCAGAGCCAATCCAAAACACGAAAGATTCTTGCTGTAATTATTTAGCATTTTGTTTCCGGAGAGTTGATCCAGAAAAATTCGACTTCGTGCCAATTGCACTGAAAGAACAAAAGAGCTATCTACATATAACATAGTCCATTTCTTTATTATAAAATATTCGATTTGATTGTTAAAACAACTTTGGACTACTTGTTCCAAAATATACTCGCTCCTTGATGATATGCTGTTGAAATGAAAATTGAAGTAGTAGTGAAGATTAATGTTTTAGTGAAGATTGAGGTTGCAATGAAGATTAGAATTGTAGTGACGGATATGGTTTGAAGGAGGACTAAGGTTGTTGATATTTGGTCCCAATGCTAAGGGTCGATGTTTCTGAAAGTATAATTTTCATAATTAAATTAAATAATTAAATTACAAGAGGGACAATAAAAGCTTGGAAAATTTATATAGATTACTAGCCAATAATCAACTTTTGGAAAAGAGTATAAAAGAGTAAAATTCTAATTTGAATACTTATAATACTGGTTATTATTCAATTATATAGTTATCCCTTTTATAAATTTTTAATAGCTTATATAAAGCTTTTATGTTTCAGCTATCACAATAGACTATAATTAGTGCTTATGTAGGCTTTGCGGTGCCACGCTGCCACTCCTACCTAACCTAGTTTGTACGTTGCAAATTCTAGAACATTAAATACGTTGTAGACCATTGTATATTTGGTAGTATATTTAGTATCTGTATCAAATAAAAATAATTTACACTTATTTATTTTAAAAAGACCTATAGCTGGGTAATAATTTTCTTTCCATAATAACTGAACTGCTTTCTCTTCCAAAACACAAATTTTCCTAGAAAAGAACTTTTTTAGAGTTTGTAGACTTGACATCGGACAACAGATCTGTTAAATTCCGTTAAATTCAATGGAATTATGTACATTCCTCTTTAGATTTTTTGTCAGAAACGTGGCAGTAAAGCGGTGAATAACCGCCAATTATAGAAAGAAGAAGAATTTCTGTCGAGCTCTACAAACAACCTATTAACGAACTGTTAATATATATTAAATTTAAAATCTAAAAATATGAAGAGTGAAACATTCATAACATATAACTGGAAAATGTAACCTGTATTAAAATAAAAAATAAAATTTAAAAATTCTTATATTTTGAATTCCTCAACTTTCTTATATTAATTCTCGAACATTCAATATTTCTTATAGATAATATAAATCACTGAAAAAGATTTTCAAAATAATTAATTAATTATATTATAGAATTAATATCAGCATAATTAAACAAAACAATCACAGCAATAATATTTTTCCAGCAACAATTCTCTTATAACTTATCGAACTTTCTAATCAACACATAATGACCTCTCACTTGGCCCCTTAATGTTGATTTTGATACCAGTTTCGAATGAATTCTTCAAGCAGCTGAGCTTAGTTTGGTTTTGGAAGCCGTGCCTGATAAGTGTCTTTAGTCGGTACCTTCAATGTGGAAAGCTGGTAAAAATATATTTCAACAAGTGACTAAACAGTCATTTAGGACTTCAACTGTCATACCTCAGACGACAAATGTTCGATATCAAGCCACACAAACAGAAACTCCGTCACCACAACTGCCTACATCAGCAGATGTGATCATTATTGGTGGCGGTTCGGCTGGTTGCCATGCATTATACCATCTCGCAAAGCGTGGAGTTAAGGCTGTACTACTGGAACGTGCTAAGTTGACAGCTGGTACAACTTGGCATACTGCTGGCTTAGTATGGAGATTGCGACCGAATGATGTTGACACTCAATTACTGAACAACTCAAGGAATATGCTTTTGCAATTAGAAGAAGAAACTGGACTCGATCCAGGTTGGATACAAAATGGTGGCATATTCATAGCACATTCAGATGTAAGCAATCAATAATTCAAAAATTTTAAGAGAACATAAGAATATTTTTATTCTTCATACATCTATAAACTTTTTTTTCTCAATGGAGATAAGAAATTAATATAAAATTTTGTATAAATGTTAATATTGTATATAACGTATACATACACGTATTTACAAAAACAAGGGGCCGGACTGTATAAATATAATATTAACAAATAAATGTGTATTGATATTTACGTATTGTTGCTATATTTTTAATAATCCTTGAGGATCGGAGAAATTTGACTATTGATTTACTTTTGATTTATTTTATTAAATATTTTATAAATATATAAAATATATTTTATAAATATTTAATATTGTTTTTCAACGGTTACCTTTATAATGAATATAGAGTTAATTACAGACTAAAATGATTAATAAAATAAAAATAAAAATTAAAAATAAAAATAAAATAAAATATTTATTTTAAAAATTAAATTCAAAATAAACATAAAAATAATGAAAATAAAAAAAAAATATTTTATTAAATATTTAATACTGTTTTTCAAAGGTTACCTTTATAATGAATATACAGTTAATTATCGACTAAAATAAATATTACCACACATAAATGATAACTAAAATAAAAATAAAAAATAAATAATACAAATGAAATAAAATTTTTATTCTGAAAATAAATTAAAAATATATATAAAAATAATGAAAATAAAAAAAAAATATTTTATTAAATATTTTATAAATATTTACTACTGCTTTTCAGAGCTTATATATTTTATAATATATTATAATAAATACATATTTATAATAAATTTATAATTAGCACATATAAATGATAAGTAAAATGAAAATAAAAAATAAATAATGTAAAATATTTACTTTAAAAATAAATTAAAAATATATGTAAAAATAATGAAAATAAAAAAAATTATTTTATTATATATTTTTTAACATATTTATAAAATATATAAAATGACCTTCAATGACTATATAAAATCAATATTAATTTGTTAAAATATTATGATTATTATATTCTAAGATTTTTTATAAAAACATAGTTAAATATATTATATACTCAATAAATATTTTTAATTTTAAAATATTCTGAAATACATAACCTTTGCAGACTCGTCTAGATGAATATCGACGATTGGCTACAGTTGGTAATGCTTTAGGTATTGAAAATCATGTACTCTCACCGGTGGAAACTCAAAAATTATTTCCATTACTTGATCCTAAATCATTTATTGGTGCACTCTATTCCCCTGGCGATGGTGTTGTTGATCCAGCTATGCTCTGTACTGCTTTAACACGTGCAGCTACCAAGAATGGTGCCAAAGTTATAGAAAATTGTTCCGTTAACGATTTAATTGTGGAGTCTACAGAAAAAGGCCAGAAACTTATTGGAGTAGCAACACCATTTGGAAATATAAAAACAAATACAGTTATAAATGCTACAGGAGTATGGGGTCGTGATTTAGTTAAAAAATATGGTTCACATTTGCCTTTGATACCAATGAAACATGCCTATATTGTATCTGAGTCAATACCCGGTGTAAGAGGTTTACCTAATATACGTGATCATGATTATTCCACATATTTCCGCATACAAGGCGATGCCATATGTATGGGAGGATATGAACCAAATCCGGTTTTACTTGATGAACCTGTACCAAAAGATTTTCACTTTGGACTCTATGATTTGGATTGGTCGGTATTTGATACCCATATAACTGGTGCCACAAAATTATGTCCTACTTATGGTAAATATGGTGTTAAGAGTACAGTGTGTGGACCAGAATCTTTTACACCAGATCATAAACCACTTATGGGACCTGATATGAATGTTGCAGGACTTTATCATAGTTGTGGTTTTAATTCTGCAGGTATGATGTTCGGTGGTGGTTGTGGTGAGCAAATTGCACAGTGGGTTTTAAATGGTAAACCAGATTTGCCAATGTTTGGCTTTGATCTGAGACGTTTCACTGCAAACCAAAGTAAAGCGACGCAATGGATAAGAGAAAAGTCACATGAAAGTTATGCAAAGAATTATAGCATGGTATTTAAATATGATCAACCATTGGCTGGACGTAATTTCCAAATTGATCCTTTACATACGGACATGTTAGCATATAACGCTTTCATGGAAGAGAAGCAGGGTTGGGAACGCCCAGGATTCTTCTTGACCAAACCAGCTGAAGTTTTATCTTATGATTATTATGGAAGTTATGGAAATCAGAAACACAAGGATAATGTATACGAGCATGTGTTGGAGGGTGATTTGCATTACGGTCGTTTTTCTGATCATCATAATTTGGTGAGAGATTTTAAATTATTTATAAAAAATTGATTATATTTAAAAAATTCTATTTACTACACATGTTTGTTGACATCCTACAAATGTTGTGTTGCAATGTGTAGATAGGTGCAGAGGCTATGGCTTGCAGAAATAATGCTGTCGTCTTCAATATGAGCTATTTTTGTAAACTCTATTTGGAAGGACCACAAGCACAAAAAGCTGCGGATTGGATTTTTACTGGAAACACAAATCGTGATGTTAAAAAGCAAGTACACTAGTGTTCGTTAAAAAACGAGGCGTTTATAATTCGAATTACTTACGGAACTATTTTCAGAGTTTAGAGGGGGGAATAAATTCAATATTATTTTCTAAATCATTTGATTAACCAAACAAATTTTACAAGTACTTTAAGTAATTCCCTGCTGTTAACTTACACATAGACACTCTATTCGCCTTACTAGACATACGCATAGCTTATATGGTCCCTATTCTCAGTCATAGGGATATCACAGTCAATATAAAGTATATAAGCTACCCAACCAGTCAACTTATTCGAACTTCTAGAAGATGTGCACATACAGTAAACAGTTAATACAAGATGAGAAGATTCAACGATATGCAGACATCTGTAAGCAATGTGTTTGAAATGCTCTGTGAAATGATCAAACTTTCATCAAGCCTAGTAAACTTTCAATGATTCTAAAGAACGAAGGAAAAGTTTCACACTTGCTTTACTATTGTGCACCGTTTGAGTGTCGAAGATTAAAGTTTACAGACAGTCAATTTTTAGAGGATATTAGTTTACTCTCTAGAGAGCATTTTGAGCTTTATGGAAGATTGCAAAGAGTTTGCAGGGCTTCGAGTTATGTACGATATATATAAATAAGCTAAAAGACCTAAGTAGTTTTTTAGGATCGCTGTTATAATCTATCTAATAATCTCTGATTTATATAAATTACGTTGACTTACATACACCTTGAAAAACCTAACATATCTTCAGAATATTTAGAATATATTGAAGAGCGATAAATTCTTCATCAATTGCTCTTCAATATAGAGAGTCATGGAGCATGATTCTCTATAATATCAATTACACTAAATGTATATATTCGTTTAGGTTTAGTAAAATTGGATTTACGGAACCAGTATATTTTAAAGAGATGAAGAGGTGTTATGTCACATATGACATATTTCCTTTAAAATCAGTAAATAACAAAGTTATTGATTGAACTTAATTAGATCTTACTTTTAAACGCATCTTTTTATTGCATTTTACTGTTTAATACTGTACTTATACCACATTTCCTAATAAGTAGAAACACAGATCAAATCAGGACTATTGTCGTACCTATGTTTTAAAGAAGAAGAAAAAGAGAAATGTCAACTGGTGTGCTTTAAAATATTTCTGTGGCATCAGAATAGAATCAGGACTTTAAATACATTTGTTTTAAATAAAGTGTATTTAAATTAATTTTGGTTCACCTCATCAGAATGTAACATTTTTAGAAGTTTTTTCTTATGTAGTGTTTAGTTGACTAACTAATTTTGCTAGCCTATATTCTCTTATATACTCTAATACATATATATCTTTTCAGAACTGTTTATACCTGCGCTCTCAACGACTGCGGTGGAGTGGAAGCCGATGTAACAGTTTCACGTTTAGAATCGGGTGCAGGCACAGTGCTCAGCCCAAAATTGAATGGACAAGGACACTATATAGTAGCTGGTGGTGCTTCTGCCTATTACACATATAATACCATTTTACGTGAAATACAAAACAAAGGCTTTAATGCAACAGTACAAGATGTAACCGCTGATTTGGGTGTAATTTCAATACAAGGTCCCAAGAGTCGACAAATTTTGCAAAAAATTATGAATTGTGAACTGTCCGATACGAATATAGCACCAAATGGTACTATATTAGCTAAAGTAACTGATAAGTCCGGTAAACGTCAAATTGATGTACGTGTATTACGTGTAAGTTTTGTTGGTGAACTTGGTTATGAATTGCATGTACCAAAGGAAGATTGTTCTGCTGTGTATCAATCGCTAATGGAAACAGGCAAAGCTGATGATTTACGTAATGCTGGCTACCGTGCTTTATATTCTCTGAGTAGTGAAAAAGGTTATCATTTGTGGAGTTTTGATTTGCGTCCAGATGATACACCAATTGAGGCAGGATTAGGTTTTACGTGTCGTAAGAATGGAGAATATAAAGGTAAAGCTGCTATAGATAAACAACGTTCGGAAGGAATTCGCAGACGTTTAGTTTATTTAACACTAAAAGAACAAGTACCAATTTGGGGTCTGGAAGGTGTGTATCGAAATGGTGAGCCAATTGGCATACTTAGACGAGCTGAATATGCGTATGCTTTGAAAAAATCATTGGGTCAAGCTTATGTGCAAACTAAAAATAATGATATTATTGACAACAAATTTATAACTTCAGGAGAATACGAGATTGATATATTAGGCAAACGCTATAAGGCTGATTGTCACTTAAGAAGTCCTTTCGATCCAGAAGGTAAACGCATTTTAGGTATATATAATTAGAAATTCAAAAAATCATTTTATGATGTACTTAAAGAGAGTTTTAAATATTAAATATATTGTTAACGTGAATATATGTAATAAAAATATCGAAATAAAAATGAATTCAGAATTATAGATATTTTTTATATTTTTTTTTTTTTTTATTACTTTTATTTGTTCTGAGAAAGCCTTTCGTTTTGTGTGATTTCAAGTGGTGTAGTGCGGAGAAGGTCACAAATACTTGAGATGTTGTTTTTGGTGAGGGTAATAAATTATTTTGACCTTTCAACATCTGCCAGCTAATCTATGAAGATCATATTAAAGAAAGAAGTACTTTCTTTTACTTTTTTTTGTGAAATTGGAGTTATTTGTGGTTGTGGACACGGAGTCTAATTGCTTAATTAATTTAAAAAGTGTATTATTGAGTTGTTATGACATCACAAGTGAAATTCTTAGAAGGCTTATTTTATTTGTTTTTTTTTATGTTGTAAATTCAAGTCTGGTCTAGCAGACATTTAGTCGCCAAATCGAATACTTGAAAATCCCGTAAATGTGCATATAGAAACCTAGTATGAATATATCTGCTAAAGAAAACAAGGATAATTGTCGATATCTTCTATACAATAGAAATCAAATAAATTAATTTTTATTAATATATTTAATTTTATAACATTAAAAGGTACTGAACGTACCGATACTGAATACGTCTTAAATACATATCACAATTCTTATTATTATGAGATAAGCTTTGGTTGGAGTGACAGCCGTTGTACCAAAGTTTACTGAGTTACAAATACGGACTCATTCAAACAACACGTATAATAAACCGTGTAAACGCCAGACCTTAAGAACCTCCTTAAATGCAGAAGCTACAAACATTTAGCGTACGAATAGCGATCCTCTGAAAAATGTGATATTATTATTGAAAGTCAAATGGCTCTGCAACCGTTGAAAAATATTTCTATTCCAGACCAGACGAAGATTATAGTTATTAATAATCATTATATTATTCTTTTACTCAAGTTTCCAAAGGTCTTTTAGATCAACGAATACTACATAGAGATAAAAGAAAGATCAAAGAAGATGTGTGTATATTTGTCTTCACATTTCCTAAGATATGCAGGAATAATGGATTTCATTAGTGAAGGACAGTGATGCAACAACAAAATATATAAAAAACCGGTTTCAGCTGTTTTTATAGTATATAATTTATTGTTGTACAATGAATGAATGAATGAAATGGATTATATCAGTAACCTTTAAGGTAGTGATTAAAATAAGCATGTCCAGTTAAGAAACCGGTAACTAAACGAATGTTTAAATTTGTTCAAATAACACAAATGACACAAATAAACTTTTTGAATTGTTTTAGGTATTTAATTTCAATTGATAATGCATATAATTTTTCGTTCATCTTAAACTTTTATTGTAGAGTAATGCTTCTTTTTATCAACAAAAACATATATAAAAAAATCGAAATATATTTAGGAATTATTTTCTGTTGAAAAGGAAATCAAGTTTTCCGCTTATTTATTGTGCAATTGTCTGACAAATTTGTATCTTGGTAAATATTTAGGTTCCTTACTCGTTTATCGGACCTGGTAACCTTCTCCCGAAGTTAAAGTACGTTAGTATCAAACACTCTGTATTCAAAGACCCATACAACGGGTGGTTTTAAGGTTCACATTTATCCGTAAATATTTCAAAAATATTTCAAATACTATACACTAGATATAATCGATTTTAATAAATTAATATTTTTATAAGAACTTGGAATGAGCTTTCAATATCTCCCTTTAACAAGCATCCACATACGCCCTTGTCAATATTAGTTAAAATTATTTAGTATGTCATACCGCGTTCTTATGATACAGAGATGCACTTTGTTTTGCTATATAAAAGAAATTAAGTTCAGTAGTAACTGTTTCATAAGCCCTACTTATGTCCCATATATATACAATATTATTAAATATATGCTATTATTTAACTATTATTTTTGCTGTCATTTTAGTAACTTTGTGGGAAGCGAATTTAGTATGACTATTATAAAGTACATATAATCATTATTATTCTAATTAATTTGATTTTAATTAAATGTTGTAATAAAACTAAATAAAATGAAAGTAAAATTAAATTATATTATAACTTCGTACACACCAACTCATTGTTAATATGAAGAGATTTTATTTTATTTTATATTTTATCCATAATTCAAAATAATTTGTTTGCTAATTTAAAACTAAGTAAAGAATTACGGACATGTATTTATATACCAAACAATCACTTATAAACGTAATAATTAAATGTTCACAATATAAAATTAATAAATAAATAAATTTGATTTGAAGAATATTCTTTATACACTTTCTAACAAAATCAGAATTGTACTAAAAAAGTACGTAATTTGACACTATTGTGCTACATTTAAGCACATTTTCTTTATATAACTAAAACTTTTCATTTTGATATTTTTAGACAAAATTTTTAATATGGATGTTACTCAGAATTAAACATTTTGATAAAAACACGTCATATACTTAGCGTGATAATAACAATAAATAATAAAGAAAGTATATTTAAATTAAGTTTGTCTTAATTAATGATTATCCGACCTAAGATTAAAGTAAAGTTTTTCGGTAGATTAGTTATATATATATATATATATATATATATATATATAATGACTCTCGGTGTGATAATATAAAGTGATAATAACAATAATTAATAAAGAAAGTATATTTAAATTAAGTTTGTCTTACTTAATGTATTACACGATCCAAGATTAAACTAAAGTCTCTCGGTATATTAGTTGATTACTCTCAGTGTTGTTGATATATATTATATTTAACTATAGGAAAAGTAATCCTTTTAATAAAAGAAAATATATTTATTTCGAATCTTTCAAATCCATATTACAAAAATAATAAAACGAAGGCAGTAGTTTGGAAATCAATGTAGACTATCAAGTAATGATTCGGTATATTTTTACTTAATAGATATAATAGTAAATCTTTTTATTCCTTCCACAACCACATCGATTTTAAGGAACGGCTCATTATTATTGTTTTGAATTATTATTTTATTTATCAATTAAAAAAATTGTTTCATAGAACAATTTCTTGATACAACAGACATACTTATCATCGTCGCTTTGAATAGTTTTTATCAGAGACCGAAAATAATTATTTTAAAAATTATATAAAATAAATATTTGTTGTTGTAGTTCACTACTGTTCGAAATAAACCTCTATAAAAAATTTCCAAGAAAAAAAACAGCAACAAAAAGTTTAAAAAACAAATTTTTTTATTATTTATTTGAAAAGGCGAATGAAAGGAGTTATTATTTAATCTTTTTCTTAATAATAATTGTTATGTTTTCTGGTTTTTATAAAAAAAGATGTAATAATTTGTAAAATGAAAACAGCTTGTTTGCAATCACTCATTTTTTTTACTATTACTATTTATTACATTTTTTTTTTGTTTTTGTTTTTTAATTATGTTTTATTTATATTTAAATAAATGATATATTATATCATTTTATTAAGGAGCAAATTAAATTTTGTTTCGAAACTCCTGTGATTGTCTTTTCATCAGTAGAACTCTTTTGGGAGCTTCGGGTGCACCATTCTGTACAATTACTAATCGTTCGTAGTATTATAGATATACATGTCCTTAATTTCATTTGTAAAATTTTTAGTTATTTTAACTAGCTATGTAGTTAAATTGTGTATTGATCATAAGAAAGGCAGATTACAAAATTAAGCCATTTCATGAAATGTCGTGAGGTGACATCACATGTGCAGATATCAATTTCCAAGGCTGCCAATCTTCTAAAATATTTTTTATTGAATCCAAAAAAATTTGATTTAATTTAAATTAAAAATGCTATTTAAAATAAAATTTCAATTAATAAGTTAAAATTAGAAAATACTATTTAAAACATAACTAAATTAAAGCTATATAGTTATTGTTTTATACAAGTTTATACAGATATAACCATTCTATTAATTTAATTCGAAAATGCTATTTAAATTAAATATTTTAAATTTAACAAAATTATAAAAAATTAAAGCTCATTATTAACAATAATAATAAAATTATTAATAATATTAATAATAATTAATTAAATAATAAATTTAAAAAAAATGAAAGCGGCAACCCTAAAATGTTTCTTGACTCTTAAATAAACAAAATAAAATAGCGAATTTTAGTTATTTTTATAATAAAGTATTTTCTAGTTTTTTTAAATAGCTAAATGTTTTTCAAATAACAAGAGAACTTAAATAAATTCTATAACAAATTATTTTCTCATTATAATATTTGGAAAAAAATTTTAAATCATGCGGTGTGCAGTGAGCCATTGTAAGCAAAACAACGCTAAGAAAGATGGTAAGGTATTCTTAATGTTTATTATTTGCGAGAATATAATAACATATTAAATTTTTATTATATTTTTTGTTACAGGTAACAAAAACAGCATACATTACCATAAATTCCCAACAGATCCAGAGCAAAAGGAAGCTTGGATAAACTTCTGTCAACGACTCGGAATAATAAATACAAAAACAGAAAGAATTTGTTCTTTGCATTTTAGTGATGAAGACTACGAAAAAAATTTGCAAATGGAATGGGGTGAGTATTATATCAATGAGTTATTACTTCAAGTTTTATTTTATGATTAATAGGTTTAAGTTCTAGCAGGACAGTTCGATTAAAACCTGGAGTAGTACCTCGAAATGAGGAAGAGCATTTAAAAATTAAAAAGGAATTCGAATGCCGCGACAGTGGAACTCTTTCTTTTATAGATTATAATGCATATATAGACGAATTGAAATTACAAATGTATGTAAATAAGTAATAAATATTAAAAATATAAGTGTTAACATAAATTTTTTTCAGAAAAACTTTACAAGAAGAAAATAAAGCGTTGAAGAAAATACAAAACGATTTCTCAAAAAGTAAAAATAAATTGCATCGTCGTATTGAAGTCTTAACACTTTACAATACTAATATGGAAAAATCATTAGGACATCTCTTTACACCCAATCAATTAACAAAAATGAAAAATGGTGAAAAAAGACGAAATTGGACAGCTGCTGACATAGCGCAATCATTTACGCTTTATTCCACAAGTGCCAAAGCTTACAAATATTTAAGAACCAAAAATTTTCCATTACCAGGAGTGAGAACTTTGCAAAGATGGTCGCAGAAACGAGCAAAAAAAACAAAAATAGAAACCGAAATAATTATTGACTTAACATAAATAGTGATACTTCTATACGTGATTAATATATATGTTATATATGTATGTGTCATAAATCCATCATTCATTACTCAATTCCAAAAATTAGATATAATAAAAAATTATTTGTTTCGCATAGATAATAATTATATGATTAAAATTTTGTTTTAGTAATTATCAGTACAACATCATTTCACAATAATAAATTGAAATAAGTTAATACATCTGAAGTAACAATAACATCGTTTGAATTTATAATTTACTAATCCTGGTTAATTAAAAATATTTTTACAATTAATTCAAATTTTAACCAATCTACGAAACAGTTTATTGCAATAATCTTTAAAATTTTATAATATATATAATTTCACAATAAACACCTTTGAGCACTGGTTCAGGACAGCACGATCATAACATAAACGCGAGGCGGAAGTGATCGCTATTAGGGAAGCATTAACTTATTTGAAAGTGGTTGATATATTTGGCAGGAATATATACTATCAGACAGTCAAATTGCTGTAAAGTTCTTAAGTACAGTTTAATTTACAATATCTCTAAACGAGATATTGACGCAGCCTAATATTTTTCTAATCTGGGTCCCCTGTCATAGGGATATTTTTACAACTGCAGAACAGACAAGATATCCAGAAAGGATGCTTCAGGACTTCACTCGGAACACCTAAGTAATTTCGATTTCGACGAAATCATGCAAATTGTTACTGAGTTCTTTCTGTGCTGAACTTCTTAATAATAAATGCGAAGACTCAACGATATGTAGGCATCTATATGCTATGTGGCCATTTTCCACTAAAAGGAAATATAATACTCTCATTGAGATGCTCCGTAGACATATTAGTCTTATAGTAGGTTTGCTTACAGATCATTGCAGATTAGGGAACCATGCTAGAAGATTTAATTTCCCCCTTCAATCGTAACTGTCGCAGATGTGGGCAAGAAGATGAAACTGCTTCCCATCTACTCTGTCTTTGTCCAGCTCATGCACGGCGACGACTTAGCTCTTAAGGTGCCCCCTTCTTTGAGGATCTTGATCAATTACACCAAGTCCCACTAAACAGCATTCTAAGCTTCGCCAATGGTTTAAAGCCTAGTTACTTCACTATATGGTAACACAATGGGCCAATAGACCTAAGTGTATCCTCTAGGGATCTCCGGTATAACCTAATTCTAAATATACAAGTACAATATATAAACATAACTTTTAAGTTCGAGTTGGTAATGGTGATCTAATTTATTCTTAAAATAAAATTTGTTAGGATAAGGTTTCTATTTAAAATATAAAAAACTTAAATTAAACAATATCCACAAGTTCTCAATTTCAAAGTAAGAAATATTTATTTTATCTCTGCTATATACTGCCTTGAAAAAAAAAAATTAAGAATCGGTCATAAAATAGTATTTAACTGGTTATGAAAAATCCGATCAAGTTAAAAAAAAATTTAACAGAATTTCCAAGTTAGGTTAAGTTGGAGTATTGGTGTTGTGCCCCAAGGCATACTTGAGCTTAAAAAATAGCTCGTTGTGATACCATGGATTAGCGTTGTTCATACGCAGACTTGAACGACCCTCAGAAGGATCACAGTTAAAACAACGAAGAAAGGCACGACTGTCCCATTCAAGTGAAACTAAACCAATCTGCCAATGATTATAAACTTGGTGAAATTCTTAACTTTGCAGGCTGAGAGGATATGACAAAAAATGTGAAACAGAGACTATTCCTTTTCTTCAACAAAAGCAACCTCGATAAATATCAATATATGTTAAATTCTTGTTTAAAAATCTAAAAACGCAATGAAATAGTAACGTTTAAGGAGTATGGTAAAGCAAATTATACGTAAAATAATAGGGAACTTAGTAAAAAAAGCTCAAAAAAAACAAGTAAAGAAACTCCAGGTCAGAATAACTTGATAGATGTTTAAAACTTCAACTTATGAAATTTATAGTTCTGATGTCGTTATATTATTATTTATTCTTGCACAGAGCGCATAGGTTTAATTAGTAATTTTATGAACTAAAAGTTGACATATATATATGTTGCAATTTTTTACCTACATTTGTTTTTTAAGAACTTAGTAGTAGTAATTAATAAACAATAAAATGAAAATAACTGGATGATAAATAATAAAAATTAAAACAAAAACAAAATCGTAATAGAATAAAATTAGCGAGCTGGTCCGTAGTGCAATAGTTAGTCGGCAATACTAAAAAAAATAAAATAATTGTTTATTTATTTTATTTATTTATTTGTGTTAAAGAAAAATAAAGAATTTAACAACGAGGTTCTTCGCTTTAAAAAAAAATTATTAAAAATTACAAACTTCATATTTTAATTTAATATATTTTTTACTAAAACCTATTCAAATTTATTTTTTATTTGTATTTCATTTTTATTTTTTAATATCTTCATATTATTTATTTTGAATATATATATAAAATATTTTTTTCTTTAAAACTACAAATAGCATCTTATATAGTATTTCTTTTTAATATTATTTTTAAGTTTAAAAATAAATATTTACTGAAAACTTGCATTAGAAAATTGAATTATTTTTAAAATGTTTATAATATTATTTATAATATAAAAATGTTTAAACTCGTAACCGGCGAATTTGTAGTGGACTGTTCCAATTCCATACCGTTTGCCTGCTTGGTGCCTTATTGGCGCTGAACAGTTTTGTTGTATTGATTGTGTGACGAATAAAGTCATATTGTTTATTTGTTTGTTTTGTAATTATAATTTTCTGTTAATATAAAATGCATATACATCGAGTTTGTTAAAAACAAAAGTTATTAAAAAATGGTTAGCTGTATCTTATGCTTGTCCGAACAAGCGCCCGACTATATACAAATTTTCTCAAACAAGGGTGTAAGTTTAGACGTCTGTGGCATTGTTTCTAAACATTTCTGGATTAAGGTGAGCTTCGATTTATATTTAATTACATAAATAAATTCATATAATTATATAATAGCCCAAAAAAACTTATACCACTGAACAAGAACAAATATGTGTAACGTGCTGGGCAGAATTGGAGCAATTTCATCGTTTTTACAAGCGCGTTGCTGAAGCTCATAATTGGTGTGAGAGCAAAAGCGAATTTTTACCAGTTGGCTTGGAAAATGACCCTTTGCCACAGGAAGTAATATTCAAATCGGAAGACTTAGCAAGTGCTGGGCAATTAGTAGAAGCTTTGGGAGACAGTTTCTTTGACTCGGGTGAGTAGAAAATATACATTATGAAGAAAAACAGATATTAAAAATTTTCACTTTCGCAGAAGTTAAAGTTGAAGTGCATGATTTGGAACTCTTACCACAAATTGAAATCATAGAAGAAGTTGCGCAAGTAAGTCTTCGTGCGCAACGTGCTAGTAGACGTAATCGCCTTTTGATGGAAAATAGTTCTGATAACTCCAACTTGTCTCCGATTCCTAAACGAATTAAAAAAGAAAATTGTGTTACATTAAGTGAATTTAATGATATAACAGACGTAGAACCCAAAGTAGAAACAGCAAATGAGTTGAATATTAAGACTGATACTGTCTCAGAATTAAGTACAAGTATTGACAACGAAGCAACAACGGATAAAAAAATTACAAATTTAGAAGAAACTCCAAAGAAACGAAGAGGGCGGCCTAAAAAATTAAAGGAGGAAACTCCAAAACGAAGTCCAAAACAACGAATTAACGTAAGCATTGAGAATTCAGCTATTAAAATTGAGTTACCAGCTAGTGAGAGCGATGGAGATGATACGACATATGCAAATCTTACTTCAAATTTCGATTCAGGCACTGACGATACTTCCAGTTCATCAAGTGATAATGCTTCGGAAAAAAGTTTACCAGACATCGAACCGCAAGAACGTTATGCAGAAATTCCTAAACGTATCGTGGTAAAACCTAAAAAATACAGAAAAAGAGAAAAACCTTTGGTTCCACCAAAACGTATGACGCGAGAAGAGATTGAACGCAAAAATCAACAACAGGCAGAATACGATAAGATTATAGCGCAATTCTTTATGAAATATTCATGTCCCAAATGCAATTTGTTAGTACAAAATTTTGGTGATATGAAGAAACATTTTCGTGCTTCTCACAATGATGAACCTGGTTATATGACCTGTTGTGGTCGAAAATTTCAACTACGCAAAACACTAGCCGAACACATTTACGTACATTGGAATCCAGAGCATTTTAAATGTAGTGTATGCAGCAAAATATTTCAAGACTCACGTTCTTTGGAAATACATGAGCTTGCACACACCAACCCTACAGAACAAAAAGAACGGAAGCTATTCCATTGTGACAAATGTCCTAAGGCATTCACAACAAAAGCAGCCTTCGAATATCACTCGTTTTCCAAGCATGTTCCCAAATCGGAATTTAAATTTTCATGTCCTGAATGCAATAAAAAGTAAGCACAAAGCGTTAGTGTTCTTTAAATAATTTTAATATATTTGGTATATTTTTCTAATATAGATTACCAACTGAACGTAAATTGAAAGATCATATAAAGTACATGCATGATCCAGAGAGTGCTATTATATGTGATAAATGTGGCAAACAAATGCGTAGCCAATCAAATCTTAAAAAACATCACGAAATTGAACACTCAGATGTACCACGTCCTGCTCCAGTACCTATGCAATGTGAAATTTGTGGTACATGGCTACGTCATATAGCCGGTCTCAAGCAGCATATGAAGACAATACATGAAGATAGTGGAGGAGAACATCGCTGCCATATATGCAACAAGGTTTCCACAAATGCACGCGCACTTAAGCGGCACATATATCACAATCACGAGTGTGAACGTAAATTTAAATGTACAATGTGTGAAAAAGCTTTCAAGCGGCCACAGGATCTAAGAGTGAGTACAATTGTTAAATGCATTTTAAAGCAATTTTTGATTAAAAGTATACAAAAATTGTGTATCCATGCATTAAAAATTATAGCAGATTCTGAATGCATGAATTTGACAGCAATGTTAAATAGGGTATGGTTTCTGTTGTAAGCTTGTGGGGCAATGGCTCTTGCATACCCATTGTAAACCAATGTTGCTGCCAAGACCATAATACTACATTGATATTGCAACATGTACTTATTAAAGATTGATCTTAAGTAATTCCATATAGATACATAGTACAAAATTGCTCCAATATAAAAAGGAGATATAGAGATACACGGTACTATTCAAATTAAATTATAGCAAATATATAATATACACTCATTGTTAACATAACACTATTATTAATTTATCTTATAATAAATATAAAAATTTTTTACAATTATAGGAGCATACATCGACTCATACTGGGGAAGTTTTATATACATGTCCAAATTGTCCGATGACTTTCTTTTCTAATGCAAATATGTATAAACATCGTCAACGTTTACATCGTGCTGAATGGGAAGCTGACAAGAAAAAACCAGTACCGCCAAATATAATGCAACAGGCTGTCGGGGCAACGGCTGCAATGAAAATGCAACAGGCTTCCTTAATTTTGCATCCAAACTTTATGCAAACAGTGCACAACGATTAAGTTAGAATTATTTACTTTCTACAAGTAAAAATTAGAGCATTAAGTTAAATTATAAGAATTGTATAAACATAATTAATTTTTAAAATAATATAAATAAGTAAACCAATTTTGCATACACTTTTATATTTCCATATAATGTTTTTGTATATAAAATGAAATTTTTACCTTGGCTCAATAAAATTCATTATTACATTATGACGAATGAGTCTACCGTATTAAAAATATTTACAGTTATTACTTAATATAAACATTTCTGCTATGAGTCCAAAATATTTCGATCCTGTGGTATATCGATGGTTACATTCATATAATCTTCCCGATGCAACTGCGCCCAGTGTTTGGCTATGCGTAAATCGATAGCTTTGCGAAATACTAAACACGTAATATGTTGTAATTTTTCGAACCGTATGCGCAGGAAACCAAGTGTGGCAAGTGTGTAACGCCAGTTCTTCATATAGCAAGCATTTTTATTAACAGGTTGGGAATCTGGTGTAATGATTATAAGTATACCTTCCGTTTTCAATAATTCATAGGCTTTTTCACAACACTCTAGTCGTTGTTGTGGGCTTGGTATATATTCTAATAATAAGCTGAATAATACACAGTCATAACTCCTTGCTGGTAAGCTACACACTGAGTTATTTTCTATACACATTTCATTTCCGCCCACATTTATTTTAAGGAAGTTACCTTGTAGTACATTTGAATTCGTCGCAGGACATAAATCGATTGCAGTTACATTAAAGTATGGCACACTGGAGAATGGATTAAAACAACTGCCTATATCAAGCAGGTTTATTCTGTCGGGTATAGAATTAAAATCATTATCATCTACAGTTTCATTTAACCACATCTTTAATAAATGCTGTTCACGTAATCTTTTTTTAATATAAATGCCTTCTGTAAAAAAGTATTCAGTACAAAAATCATTAACCCATTTGATACGACTATGTGTAGATAAACGATTCTCTGAATTTATATTGCTTTCCCAAATAGTGGAAAGCTGCTTCATCGCCTCTGCATATTCACTTAGACGTACTGTGTCTTTTAGATATATATCCCAGGCTTGTTCGGTGCCATATTTCTGATTTAATTGACGTAAATAATTATGACATTCTTTGATTTTTTCTGCAAGCAATTTATGTTCTTCTGTAGCCATTTGTTGATTATCGTTGTGCCGTTTTATTATTGCATTAAGGATTCAGCTGTTGGCTGAAGATTTGTTTACATTTCTTCAGAATTTGTCATTGACAAAGTGTCAGTTGGTATCGTGGTTACCAGGTATGCAAAAAAATTTTTTTATTAATTTATGATCAAAATTATTAATATAGTAGGTCTGTTCCACGAGCTACACATAGTAACTTTGAGTAACACTGTGTATACACAAGTGCGTTCCACGAACAAATTTGTGAGTAAATGAGAGCATCTGAGAGAGCGTAACATCCCTGTCGAAATTTGAAAATGTTACGCAGACTTTACTCATGCATTTTATATGAAGTAAAATTTGTGTTTATGTGTAAATCAGCTGTTATGGTTTGAATTCAAATTTTTGTATTGTTTGTTTGCGCGGCATTTGTGAATATAAAAAAATTCTGCATTTTTAATTGTAACAATTGTAATAAACAAATATTGAAATGGATAAAACCATAATAAATATTTTATTAAGTGATTTAAGTAACACAACACAACCAGAATATAACGTAGTTAATACACTTCGAGATAGTGACTCTGACGATGATGTAGAATTGGTGTATTCGATATTACATAAAAAAAAAGAAAACGTGTGTGTATAAAAAATTATATACAAGATGTTGTTTACAAATATGACGACAAGGAATTCAAAACTCATTTCCGCATTTCGTGGATCCTTTTTAATTCTTTGGCTATAAAATTTCAAAATAGTACCGACTTTATTGCACTGCGAGTAAGTGAGCTGAACATTTCTTCAGAAGCTCACGTTGCTGTTTTTTATGGTTTGCTGGTCACGAAGCATATTGTTTTAGAGATTTATCAGATCGCTTTAATCTTTCTTTATCGTCAGCAAACCGAGTTATAAGAAGGATGAGAACTTTCTTTAGCAACATATGTCCGGATATAATTGCATGGCCTAGCACATCAAAAAAGGAAGAAGCAAGTACATTTTTCCGAAGCTTATGCAATTTTCCATAAGTTATAGGTAAGGATTTATGTGCATATTAACGCTGCATATATATTAATACATGTTACTTTGCAGGTTGCCTAGATGGCACTCGTATAACTATTGATCCTACTGGAGATCGTAAGGACGACTACATTGACAGAAAAGGAAATATTTCATTATGCTTGCAAGCCATCTGTGATGAAAACAGAAAATTTATTAGCATATTTGTCGGACATCCAGGCTCCTGTCATGACAGTTGGGTCTTACAAAACTCTCCTATTTATATGCGACTACCATCGAAGTGTGGAGGTAAGTTCTTTGGAAAAAGAAATGAGATTTATTAAAACCTCTTACGTTTACAGAATACTATCTACTGGCTGATTCCGCATACCCCTGTACACAACACATCATTACGCCATATAAAGACAACGGGCGTCTTACTCGTGCACAAAATAATTTCAATAGAAAATTGGGGTCAGGTCGAATACTAATAGAAAATGCATTTGGTATTTTAAAACAACGTTTTAGACAGCTACTGTGTCACTTTATAAGAGTATGTTGTGTTTTGCACTATCTTGCAAATGGAAACGACTTAGAATTCACATTTTCAGAACAATCTGAGGAAGATAATGATGTCAACAACCAGATCCCTTTTAGATCAAGTATCGTTAGAGATTCAATTTGTAATGAATTACAAACACAAAATAACTTGGATTAAAGTGTTTATTTGTATATTGCTTATTTTTCATTAATTAATTTTATTAATATTGCAATAAAGAACTTAATTCTAATTAATATATTAACATCACATTTTATAAATATATACTTAATTCTATCTTAGCTTTAAAATTACATTATTTAAATAAATTTTTAATTCTAACTAAACATAAAGACTATAATATTAAAAGTAAATATGTTTTTAACATAATGTGTCCTAATAATAATAATATGTAATATATTAAAATAAGTTTAAAAATAAATAAATATAATATATTAATTATTTTATTATTAATGTGTTTGTCTGTTATTTTTCAATTTCTATTTCTACTGTTTTGTTTTTCAAAAAACAGCCGTTTTCACCAGACTTTACACAAAGCTGTTCCATGAAAATTTGTGTAAAGAGCGTAATCTGGCACTTTATTTGTGTTACGCTCTCAGTTTGTGCTTTACTTCTGTTTTACTCATGGTTTACTATGTGTAGCTCGTGGAACAGACCTAGTGTTTTATTATACCATGTTTCCATTTCTGTTATTTACGCAATTTTGCTAACAAAAAACCGCTTATTAGATTAATTTACCATACAATAAGCTTTCATTTAAATGAAAGCATTAGAAATAAATCAACTGATTTAAAAGCGTCGAATGCAACATTTAAAAACATATTACCAAATGTTTTAAAATATTTGTTTTTACATATGTTTTTTATGTAAAATAAAAACAAACTATTTATTTCATTCGTATAATTCTTATATGGAGTTTACATTGGCCGAAAATGGCATTTTGACACTTTGAGAGGGCTTTTTTTTTGACATATATACAAAAAAAAGTTAATAAATGTTTGTTTGGTGGTTGCATTTTCTGAAAACGATGCACCTTCTTTTAGAACTTCTACTTCCCAAAAAGTACTTAATCGAAGTTAAAAATATGTTTTCAGTTTATATTGTAAGGTTTAAAGGTATATTCAACCTTTATAAAATATTTTTCGGTACAGGCCAAAAATCAAATCAACAGGCAAGTTGAAAAATCAGCTGTTTGAAATGAGAATAAATGAATTTCAAATAACGGCTCATTCAAAATGATTCAAAACGCTATATTAGCTCACAATCAATAGCAGATCTTTCATTTGGTCTTTAGTAAGATCGAAAATAGCTTTCAGTCTTGCAAAAACCGCTGTCAGAATACGAAAGATCTTTCAAAAGATCTTTCGCAAGATTTTTAAGTGTGGAGAGCTAAAATATCGTTACAAGAATTGCTCTATTGATGCCTTTTACTACGATATAAGCTGCGGCTGAACATACCATGATACTATATGGCTAAACAGACCATATTTTGTATAACATACCTGTCTTTAATTGATTTCAATTTGACATTTAGTTATGAGCGCCGATCGCAAAACAGATGATGAAATAAACAAAATTTGAATTGGCTGGGTCTTATTACACTAATAATGGCACTTTTAGAGCCGTTTGGCAATGATTTAACAAAGTATATAATTCAACGATTGAATCGCCATAAAATAAGTAAAGTCAGTGAATTTTTATTTGCGAACGATAAAGATTTAACTAAAATTACGAATTTATCCGAAACAACAATAACTGAACTAAAGCGAGATTTACGGAAATTACATGGCGTACATCGTGCCCAATTATCACATATACGACGTAAAATAGTTAAAGAAACCAAATACAATACTGGTATAGAAAGGTAAAAGTCAAATAAGTTATGATATTAAATTGGTCTGATCTTAAACTCTTCATAAAGTCTTGATTGCTTATTGGGAGAAAGTTCATTATTTCCGGGCGCTGTTTGGGAGATATGTGGTTTCTCAGGAACTGGCAAAACACAATTGTGTCATACAATAAGTTTGAATTTAATTAAAAACTACAATTGTGATACATTATATATTGATACAAAATATGATTTCTCTGGTATTCGGATAAGACAAATGTTAAAAAGTCGTAATATTTCTAAAACTGATGCTGGGCGTATAATGCAACAGATAAAAGTGGAACGCGTGGATACACTTGAAGGTGTAATTAAAGTCTTAAAAGAACTATGTGTTCAATTGGAAATTGAAAACGCGGACTGTAAGGCAATAAAATTCATAGTAATTGATGCCTTACCGGCAATTTGGTTTCAACATCGCGAACGTGAAAGTTGGTGAAAAAATATACTTATATAAAAATAGAAATTATAATATTATTTATTTAATAGGAATGTTTTTATTATCAACTTTAGTAAATACAATATGGAAATTGGCGCTACAGTATATGAAAACATTTTTATTAGTAAATTTAACAGTTTATAAAGAAACAAATCTGTTTGAGAATGGTAACCGGGGGAAAATAATTTAATTTATTTTTTATATTATATATAATATTTAATATATATATTTAAATTATGTTGCTTTGTAGGTTTACAGTATTCACAGTTGGGTGATACTGATGGTGAAGTTAACGAAGAAGCATTAATGCAAGCAAGTGTTGAATCATCCATAGTACCTGCATTGGGTAGATATTGGTCCAGTGTACCACATTTGCGTTTATGTATAAAATCAAATGAAAAAAAAATTGAACCAGTTTGTAAACGGACAATAGCAGTTTTAAAAAATTGTTATGGCCCAACGGGAGGAAACTGCAACGTCAGTATAACTGATGCAGGTGTTATATAGATGCAGCACTGTTCATGCCTATCTTATTTTATGGGAACAAAAGTGCTTTATCAGTATAAAATAAGTTCATTTATATTCATTAATATCATTTATATTTACAATATTTATTAATAATGTATATATTATTTGCTTTAGTGTATTTAATTTAGAATACGATCTTTAAAAAACATTTAAATTGTGAAAAAATAAGTAAAATTTTTATTTCAATAAGCATTTTAATAAGTTTTAATGATTAATAAATATTTCTTTTAGAACAACATTAAGATAACTTCTTCAAGTATTAAACCATTTAACATTTAGTTAATAAAATCATTAAAATTGTCAAAAAAATAATTATGATTTTATTTATAATAAACAATAAGAATATTAATTAGTTATAATAATTAATAAATACTTCATTTGAGCACAATTAAGATTGTATCTAAAAGTATTCTAACTTATTTTAAGATCGTTTAATTTTTATTTAATAAAGCCACTATAATTTGTCAAAAAATAATTATAATTTTATTTATATTAAACAATAAGAATATTAATAATAATAATTAATAAATATTTTGTTTAGAGCGCCATTAAGATGGTGTCTAAAAGTATTAAAGCTTAGATTAAGATCATTTAGTTTATATTTAATAAAAACATTAAAATTATTGAACAATAAATACAAATTAATATTCAAATTTATGTGAATGTAATAATTTTTAATAATTAAAAAATATTTCGTTACGAGTACCATTAAGATGATCTCTACAATTATAAGAGCTAAGATTAAATAAGTTAATAATTAAAAAAATTTCGTTTGGAACATCTATAAGGTAGTATCTACAAGCGTTAAAACTAAAATTGAGACCATACATGATCATACTTTTATTAATATTATAGGTGTAAATAACGTATTATTAAGTTTAAATGAATATTAAACAAATATTGGTTTGTGTATCATGATATACATGAACTCTAGTAATAAATTTAGTACATATATGTTACTATGTTACTCGGTTACCGAGATCGTGATTATCATCATTATTTATTAATAGTACTTTAAATATTTTTGTCATTTAATTAATTTAACTATAATGTTATAAACAGCTCAGACTGATTGGGATAATATAATTTGCTGCAGACAAGTTAAAGAATTTTTGCCAAATCAATCAAAAGTCAAAACTATGGAGCTACTAATGTGAACAGAAAATACATCTGACTTGTCAAGGGGTTTCTCACTGAACATTGCGGAGTCAAAAAACATCTATCATATCAGAGTATTACAAGGGATGTTAGCTGCAGACTTTGTCACGAAGAAGAAGAAATAGCAGAACATATTTTGTGTCACTGTGATAGTCTTGTCAGTCTCAGATTTCAGTACTTATCAATTGCCTGCCCACTTATAACGGAAATAGGCAATATCTCTTCAAGGGACATAATGACATTTTTAACTGGCACGCGCTTATGGAAGTATAAAGTGGGTTTGTTACAATAATCATCAAAGGATGCAGTGACGTGGTGAAATAGTTGCCAATCCTTTCAAAATCTATCTATAATATTATAAATATTTTGTCTTTATAAATTATAGAATAGAAAGAATTTATTTCTATTAATTTGACAAACTAAAATAGAAAAAATTAATGCGGAGAATTTTGTGTTGAAATACGCACAAATGATTTTATCTTAACAATTATTATAATTTTAATTTTTATTTGCATTTAAGAGCAACTTAAAAACTGATAAAAAGTGCCAAAAATAAGATTTTAATGTCAAGGTTACTTTGCAAATATATTTTTTATATATAAGTAATGCATCTAAAGAGTTAATCCTATAAGTCTTAGACACTAAATATTTTCAGATTTAAAGATTTTAAAATGCAAAGAATTTTACGCATACTTAAATTAATATTTGAGACTTTGAAGTGAAACTTTATACTATATATAGTTTATATGTAGTTAACTTTAGCATAAATTAATATAAGAGGATTATTTAGATATATAATATATACAATATATTTACATAAATACGTTAATATTAAAATAAATTGCAAATACAATAAGTTTTTTGTTTATTTTTTGCTATTAAATTTGCATATAATTTTTATATATAAATGTAATGTAAAGAATTTGATTAATTACAAGGCATTTTAATTGCTTTCATAAATTTTATTGATTAAGAATAATTTTAATAAATTTTTTTTTTAATCAAATACAGAACGTTAGCCTTTGCTAATTGGCTCGTATGTAAATGCTATCTCAATGCATTTCTCTATATAAAACCTTCGCATATTTATATTCTATTTAGAAGCAGATTTTAAATATTTCCATTTATTTTAAATAAATATATATTTTATTGTTCCATATTATAAATTTTCAAAATTATGATTAAATATTTTACAGTTGTTCTATAAAAAGTTGTGAGAGTGGTTATTTTTTTTATAATAGCCTTTTGTATAATTGTCAATAAAATAATATTGAAATATTATAGTAATATAATATACTATTAAATAATAAAACATCTTTAATAATTATAGTAGAAGAAAGGAAAGAGATCATATGTGTCTTATAACAAAAGACCCATAATAAATATTGTAAGTAGTTCTTTCTGATAAAGGCATAACATGACTTAAAACTACAGTGTAGCACAGATGTAAGTTCTCAATATAGCAGAGCACTAAGTAATGGATGATTTAGGGTTTTAAATTTTACCATAAAATACTTCAGATCATTTTACATTATATATAATATACTTAGTAAAATCCTTTCTTATGGACTTCAAATTAGTTTTCAATAACCCTTTCTTCAAAAAGTGTCTGTATGCACTATAGCGTCCAACTATTAATAATTCCTAAAAATTTTATTTTAATGGAATATTAGAGTTTAGTTGATCAATATGCATAGAAAAAATATGGTGGCATTAAATATACATAATTTTTTTTATGTGAATTTTAATGATTAACTCCAATTAAAGGGTTTTAGTCTAATACAGACTAAAATCCATAATACACGTAGTGAATTTTGACAAGATAATAATAATACATCGATTAAGCATTCAAAACGATGTTAACTTTAGAGATGCTCCATCGAAAGGAAAATTATTAACCAAACAATGAACAGGAGAGAGAACAACGATAAGATTAGCACAAGCTAACTGCTATTTTTAGAAAAGATCATAATATATATTTTTATTATTTATCTGATAAATTTTTTTATATAAATAAATTTAATTTATTTTATCTAATTTTGATTAGAGCTTTGATGTAAATAGATTAATGTTTCAGTATATATAGTTTTATCCTATCCTTGTTATACTCGTAATACTTCCTGTAATAATATAAGATAATAAATGAATAAAAAAGAATTCCATTAACCTATAATAGTTTCTCAAAATAAGCAAATAATAAACGGAAGACGGCCTTTCTAAAGAAAGCTAGAATTTCCCTAGTTAATAAGTTTCTAATATCAGGCAGTGCATATAGTAGGTATCCAAACAAATATAATTTTAGTTTCGTCTTTTTTACCCGTAAATTATTTTTGTTAATGAGTTTCTAATATTAGACAGATGATATAAAATAATCAGACAGAATATATGTCATTTTAGTACCGTCTTCTCCACCTTTAAATTATCTTTAAATATTTCCGTTAATGAGTTTGTAATGAGTTATATCATACCGAGGATATAGTGGGTGTAGAGACAGATGTCTTTTTAGCCTCCTCTTTTTTATCCTTACCAGAAAATTTTTTAAACATTTTGTTGCCCTTTCCGTCACACTAGCCAATGCTTAGAGTCTATAATTTGTAGTAAGTCATATATGTGATGATGTATATATATATTAAAACTATTCGAAACTTTAATGGAACCTAAGATACTTTTGAAAAAAACCTTTCAGTTTACTAAGCGGATTCAGAAAGTAAATCTTTAAGCTATTTCATCTACGTTGCATAGGTAGGGAAAAATGACACTTTCGTTTTCTTCTCAGATTTTTAGTCCCTCAATATGGTTATCTAGTCATATGTGGTCTGTCTGAAATTGCTAATATTTACGTTTTAAGGGAATTGTTAGCTATTTTTCGATTTAAGAGATGTTAACTTGTGTAAAGTTGTTTGCATATCGTTGATCCTTTTATATTTTATTTAATTATTCTATATAGAAAGACTTTAACAATTATTTGCATAATGCTGAATTTATGTTCAGTTCTTTCAGATGTTTTGAATGTATTCTTTAGAATATATAGCTCATCTAACTTGCAATTATATGCTATACCATGCGAAGGCCATTCCAGAGAAGAGATATATTGAACTTTTTTGAGATCTCATCTAGAGATATATAATAGTCAAAAACTGTTCTAAATGTAATTTGAAGTGAACTTGAAAACTTTAAAGAAGCTTGACTGTGAATGTCATCAAAATTATGTCTTTTTTCTTTGGTGTGGTTCAGAAAATTTAAAATATAATAAGCGTTTTACATTGCCATCAATTTAAACCAGTCTAAGTTTAACTAAGTATAGAAAAGAGAAATACTTTATGAAAATAAAGTATATTGAAAACTGATAGCTGATATAAAAATAGGTCAGTTGTATTTATCACAGATCATTGCCATTAGATGAACTACTCATCCAGTACAACATTCTGAGTCTCTTTTCTTACACCCAGTTTTCATTTCCCCTTATCTAATTTCGCTTTCAATGAGTGAACATATTAAATATAATCTAAGTCAGTTGGATTTATGTTGACTGTGAAATTAGGTGAATAAAACTTAGTTATAAAACTTAGTGCATGTAAGTATCTATGTGAGTGCCTCTAACTGAAAGACTTCTATTGTTTGTTGTTGTTTTCAGCACTTTTTTGGCTTCTTTGGGTACGATATTTTGTTTGTTATGAATAGATATGGCCGAGATACTCTAGTTCATACGTTCATTGCTACATGCAAAGAGAGGCGTAGGCAAGGAAAATTCGTATGCTGTATTAAAGTTCCTACCCTGCATATTTAGTTAGTTAGTTTATGGTTTCGTGCTCTCGGTTGAAGATGATTTTTATTGACGGCGATATTTTTTTTCTGTGGTTAAATTCGTATTGTAAGTGTTGAATCTATGCAACCAGGCAAGATATACGCTAGAGATTAATTTATTGAGTTTTCATCTATCGCGGCGATAAGTCGAGAGTGGCTAAATATAAGAAATTTGAATTTTTATTAATAATATTAAAAATATTTGAAGCTTAAAGATCCTTGAATCATAGCAAAAAAAAAAAATGACAGAAAAAATTCCTATGTCAAGTGGAAATGGTAGCAATACTGCAGCTCCATTAAAAGTGGCGGTTATTGGTGCCGGACTGGTGAGTTCTGTTTTTTTTTTTATTGGAATTTAATATGCTTACTGTGGCTTGAAAAATAAAAATAATGGAAGAAATTCGAGATTCAATTTATTTAAAAATGTGATTTGATATGTAATAAGTAAATCAATATCAGAAAATTAGTTAAGTGAAAAAATGGATGAATTATTGGGAATTTAATACTCCTGTATGAATTTCAGAATATAGATTATTAATTTTTTAGTTTTTAAAGTATATATAACTAAAAAATACTTGTGATTGAGACTTTACAAAATTTTTATTTGATAACATTGTTTGACCCTACTATTAGTTGTGAAACACAACATCCTTCACAAAATGTCTTCCATGGGATATCTTTACAGTACTAGATCCTTATGAGGTAATTATTATGACTTGTTGGTATATAGCTGATAATAGTTCGGTCATATTTTGACCTATATTTGTTTTCAAAGCGTTAAAAGATTAAACACACAAACACTACCTTATAGAGAAAAGTACAGGGGTGACCAATTCCACGATTCTGATGGATAATTCACACCATAAAAACTTCTAATTTCACTTAGAAGTTTTGTAATAATAATAAAAGTGTTTTTTAAGGCTAATTGTCAAATTTTTTTTATCATTATTAAAAAATAAAAATCGAGAAAAAAAAGATATCTTACCGATATTTCGACTTTAGTCTGAAATAATCAACAGGAAACCTTTACTTAAGTAAACTTTCCGTGTAATAAAGTGAAAACAAGATGTGTATCGTGTGTCCTGTTGAAATCACAAAGAAAAATTACTATATTGACAAATCTCATGATCCTGGGTATCCTGTTAAAATTTTAAATATCACGAGCAGATATTTAATTTACTATTTATCTCCTCAATTCTAACCGAGCAGAATTGACGGTTAGTTTCATACTGTCCTATCATTTTCAAATAAGTATTGACCTATCATATCTTCAGTCATCACCACACACCATACAGTGACTTTTTGAGTAAGGAATAGTCTTTGACATTGTTTTATTTGTTTTTACTGCTTCAGAAGTTAGAACTTTAATTGTTGTGCAAAGTGTACCTACTATAGAGTCACCAATTCTAGTAAGTTTTTATAATTTTAATATATTCAGTGGTTATTAAATGATCCATCTGTATTGTAAACTAAAGCTAAACATTTGAAAGCCTGAGTGTTAGTACTGTAGGACATATGTCATTGAAATCATGCTATCAAATCAGGACCACGAAGTATAAAATTTTTATTTCTAATTTTTTTGCTGGAAAATATATATTATTTAAACTTCTATTGACTTATGTAATGACAATATTTGCAATAATTTTAGATATATAGCTGTATTAAATCAAAGAAAAATAAATATTTTTTATAAAACATCATAAGAATCTTTACACCGTTAAATATATTACAGTTCGCAATCTTAGAGATTAAAAATTTAAGCTCAAACCAATCACTGATTTCTTAACTGGACGTACTCCTCTCAATTAACGCTCTTCAGAAGAAGAAGGATTAAAGGACATTGACATCTACAGATTCTTAGAAATATGGCGTGACAATTTTATTTGTTCGTGTCTTGCGATTATTAGGAATCGGATGTAGTATCTCCATCTCACTTTCATTTAACCGAATAAAATAAAAGATTTTGAATTAAAAGAATTTGTGAAATTTATTAATAGTCTCAATTTGACCAAGTTAGTTTACTAAATTTTCTCTCAAACTAGAATAATACTCATAGATCATAAAGGCGCGATGAATCTTCTATTAACTATAGTTAATAGTTAATAATATATAGTTAATAATAAGAACCCCTGAAATATAATATTTTTAAAACATTCAGTTCGGATTTTGTCATAACTAATATATTACAAACTTCATAGAAAGTCTATTATCAATTTTTAAAAAATTCAGCATAGGTTATGTTGAACTAATTAATATCGATTCATTTTATCAGTTAATGCTAGATATTAATTACAGCCAATTTCAAGTCAGATTAGACTAAGCTAGGTGTTATGAAACGGATTTATAATAATACCACAGTAAATATAAGAATGCTAGGTTAGGTTAGGTCGGAGTGTGTGCCTTGTATCCAAAAAGTTCATTTGAGTTCAAATAATGGCCTGTTGTGGTACCACAAGATAAGCGTTTGTTCATACACAGTCTAAAGATCAGCATACAAACAAGGCCGAAATGCAATGACTCCTATATTAGGTAAACATGAACCAACCTGACAGTTGGTTGACAGTTGATGACAGCTCTGTCATGTCGGAAGAAAAGAGGCCGCAAATAATTTAGATCTTGTCGTAGCTAAATATGGGCAATGATACATGAGATAGCGCACGGTTTTATACTAATTCTCAGAACCACAACCACGTCAAAAGTCATAATAGGGTAAGCAAAGAATGCTAGCCAAATAAAGAAACTCTTGGTCATTTATTTCTATTAATACTATTTATTATCCATCTATTCCTCTAAGATAGATATTAATTTTTAAATTGTAAAAGTAAGTTTCATATCTTGTCTGAAGATAAAAAGAATAAATGCTAAGATAGATATTAATCTTCAGACTGTAAAAGTAAGCATATCTTGTCTGAAGATAAAAAGAATAAATGCTAAGATAGATATTAATCTTTAGATTGTAAAAGTAAGCATATCTTGTCTGAAGATAAAAGGAATAAATGGTTTATCTAAAGTTTAAAATTTTTTATTATAACTTCAATAAAAATAATTCAACTATTTCCTGTTATATCTTAATCTAACTGATAAAACTAAATACCATAATAAATGTTTGTCATAGACATATCAGACATAATTGTATCTTTTAAATATCTTATTAAATATATTTAAAGATATTTAAATATTAAATATCTTTTAAATAGAAATAATGATATAACTGCCATTACACGTGTTTAAATAATCAAATATCATAAAAAACGATTTTACACGTTTTAACTTTTTATTATGACATAGGTCGGTTCTTTAGCTTCACTGAATCTAGCCAGACATGGCTATGATGTACATCTTTATGAATATCGCGAAGATATCCGAACAGCAGAATTAGTACAGGGAAGAAGTATTAATTTGGCGTTATCACAAAGAGGACGTAAAGCTTTAGCTCAGGTTGGTCTGGAAAATGAGATATTATCAACAGCTATACCAATGCGTGGACGCATGTTACATGATATTAGGGGGCGAAAAACAGTTGTAGTCTACGATCCTTGTACAAATCAATGTCTATATTCGGTTGGTAGAAAACAATTGAATGAAATATTACTTAACGGTAAGGCAAATTATTTCTCTAATGTATGTATAATATACTACATACACATGTATTATATGGAAATACCATTAAATGTATTTTTTAGCTTGCGAAAGGTTTCCTAACATACACTACCATTTTGAACATAAATTATCATCTATCAATTTAAATGAAGGGACTATGGAGTTTAAGCAGTAAGTTTTGACATCATATATTGTTCTCTTTACTAAATTATATATCTTTCACTAATAGACCTTATGTAAAAGAGCTGCTTCAGGACACTGCAGATCTTATTGTTGGTTGTGATGGCGCCTTTAGTACTGTACGCCAACAGATGGTTAAGTCATCTGGTTTTAATTATACTCAAGAATATATTGAACATGGTTATCTGGAACTGTGTATACCTGCTAAAAATGGAAATGTAAGTATATTGATTATGTTAGTTTTGTGATTGTATGTAGGTTGACTTTTTTTTAATTAATTAATTTAATTTATTTATATAATTTTATTTTTATTTTTAATTTTTTATTTTTATTTCTTATCATAAGCTTAAAGCTTCGTGGTGTGTTTGACCGCCTCTTCGGTTGTTATTGTTGTATAATAACCAAGGAAGATTATTCGTTACTTTTTCGTATTTATTTGCTTAACTTTTATCTTCCATACTAGATATTCTCAGTAATATGAACCAATTTAGAAATTAGTGAGTAATTTGATATAGTATCTCAAGCTGCACAGTTATTCTAAATTTTTATATTTATTATAAATACAAGTGTCCATCTTGATTTTGAAGACCTCCTTTTACTTAGACAAAAATGCAGCCTTTTATATTAGGTTATGCTGGCAAACTAAAAAGGCCACGCGTAGACCATTAAGGTACTTATCAAGAATATCAAACCCTATATAGTTTTCATTCCAAAAATAGTATAAATCTTTTAATCACACTCTGATTCCACATGGTTAGTTTAGCTTAAACAATTTTTAATCTTCAGAGTATATATTTTGGTATTCAATACAATGATCAGGACATAAGTTGGATAGAAAATAGTAGTTGAATGAGTTTGTATATTTCAATCTGTTTGAAATATTACTTTTTGTAAGATGAAACATTAGCTTTATAAAGATCTGTTTCGTTATGGTATATGACTACGAAGGAACTAATACCTCTAAAATAAAAGTCACACAATTACTTCAATAAGAGCTATAATTAATTCAATACCCTGCAGGTCCAAATGACATGTAATTATTTCTAGCATTTTTGTAGAAGCTAAAAAATAAACTAAATTAGCTTCTACATTCATCCATTAGGTTATTATTAAAATACAATACGAGTAGGAATGCTGACTATTAGAAATGGAATACGTAGGTGTTTAATTCATATTATGCTATAAAATCTGAAGACAGCCAAAATTTAATAACATTCTCTTTACAGTTTCAAATGTTAGAAAACTACTTACATATATGGCCACGTAATATGTTTATGATGATTGCATTGCCCAATCAGGATAAATCTTTTACAGTGACGTTATCCATGCCGTTTAAAATTTTTGATACCATTAAAACACCAGAAGATTTGATTATGTTTTTTAAAAGATATTACATGGATGCCTTACCATTAATTGGAGAGGAATTACTTATAAAGGATTTCTTCAAATCAAAGCCACAATATTTAATTTCCGTGAAGGTAAACTGCATAGAAGTTCTAATAAGTTTAAGCCTAAAAAATATTTACGACTATTAATTGTTTCTTAGTGTTATCCATATCATTGCGGTTCGAAAGCTATAATATTGGGTGATGCAGCTCATGCGATGGTGCCCTATTATGGACAAGGTATGAACGCTGGTATGGAAGATTGTACTTTGCTTATGTCAATTTTGAATCAACCAAATATAAGTATTGGAGAAGCTCTTGAAAAATTTACTGAGTCACGTTGGGAGGACGCACATGCAATTTGCGGTTTAGCAATGTATAATTATGTTGAGGTAAAAAATAAAACTCTTTGATATGAAATTATGAAACTCTATTGATGTTTCTCTTATAAAATGTCTTTTCAGATGCGTGATCTAACAAAACGTTTTTCTTTCCTTCTTCGTAAATGGTTTGACAATTTGCTCTTTAAGTTTTTCCCGACATTCTGGGTGCCATTGTACAACAGCGTGTCCTTTACGAGTATGCCTTACAGTATGTGTATTGCTAACCGAAAATGGCAGGATAAGGTATTATAATAATTTGAAAATTGTTTTTATTTTAATTTACATTATACTTTTTTTAAAGGTTATTAAAAACTTCTTTATATTTGGAATTTTGGCGATTTTTATTGGGTTACTATTTATGTTATCCTAACACTTTTGATCACACTTTAATCTAAAATCTCGATCAATGCCTAAAGTCGTATGCCCTAAGTGTAATAAAATTGATACATGTATATATAAATTACAATATATATTTAATTTTATATAATAAAAAATATATGTAATCATATTATATAGTACATAAATGTGTTTATTTTATTTTAATACAGTGCAATAATTATATTACTATTGCACAATCAATAATTACATCTTTATTGCAATTTTGGAGCTAACCTATGCGATAAAAATTTTTATATTTCCATTCCAATGCGGCATTCAGTTTTATATTATTAAAGAAACGTATATAAATGAATGTTAAATGATCAATTTTTATAAATGGATATAAAGTCACTACTTAGGAATAGGGAAACCTCATTCCAAATATGGCAGAAAAAAGAACAGTTACACTTAGCATTTAGCAAGCTAAATTTATTGTAGCCAGAAGAGAATGGTTGTAAAGTGTTTATAAGTTAAGGGAGTGGGATTGGCGTAAACTTAAGGAATGACTAAGTAAGGTCAAGGTCAGAAAGAGCACGGTTGTAGAGCGGTATACGTGGTGGGCGGGCATGCTCCTTCTCAAGAAAGCGAGGAAAGTATGAAAGCAAAGAATTGAGTGGACTTGTACCTTATGACTTAAAACAACACAGTTGAAAGGGGGTTTACTTGGTGTTCTGCAAATTCATCTGAACACTCATCGGATACAAATATCGTTTATGTTAAGTTTATAAATTTGTTCAATTACCAAATGTTGTGTTTTGATACAAATTTTATTAACATTGAAATTCGCAAATATTCTTAAAAATCCTTAAATTGCTGTTATTTTGAGAGACAAAGAGTGTTTTTAAAATTAATTAAATTATTAGAAACATGTGCCACAAAGTAATGGATTGCATTGGTTTTAACGTCAGTGATATCAGATAGTAAATATTTTACTTTATCGAAACTATTGTATTTTGTTGGAGGTTTCAAAAGTAGTGAACAACAAAAAAAATTTTTTTTGACAATACTCGAATAAGCTGTATGGTCAGCCAAAAATTCAATTGATTAAATAATATATTATAAAGAGGTTCTTTTGAACAGTAGTGAATTACAACAATAAAAATTTATTTTATATTATTTTAATTAATTGATTTTTTGACTGACAATACAGTTGTTTCCAGTATTGCCAAATATTCATCATCATCAGTGGTTTCGGAAATAATTCTTGTATTAAATTATTCGTAAATAATTTTTTGAGACTGCAAGTACCAGGAATCATACTCGTATCCTGCCACATTTGAAGCTCAGAGTCAACGCTCTGGGTTAAGCTGTACTTCACTTTTATTGTTGCACATTTTTCTGGAGTTTTGTTAATTTGCTGTGAAAGTTTTATTAACAAATTTACTTGCTGTGTTTATATTAGAACGAAATCATAAACCAACTGTAGAATAATTGAATTAATTAATTATATTTTTATTTTATATATATATGCATATTATATTATATAAATAATATATTATAAAAAAAGAATTTTTGTTGTTGTAGTTAACTACTTTTCGAAACGCTTCTAATACTATTTTTATGAAAAATGTTATTATTTTTGTTTTTTTGTATTTAATTAAAATTATGCAAAAATTATAAAAAACTTTAAAACATCATTATTTTGCTACAAATATATAGTACATATATTTGCGTGCGCGTAAAAGAGCTTTTTACTTCTAGCAAAAAGCTCTTTTTTGTGCTTCAGCTGTGCGCACAATGGCAGAATCAATGAACATTAACTTTCACTTGTTGATCGAGTTTATTTCTTATGCCTTTCTAATTTTGTTGTTTGTACAATCGCTTTGCTATTTGCAATGTTTAAACAATATAAATATATTTTAGCTTTTCTCTATATTTCATATTAGATATAAATTTGAACAAAAAATTATTAGCTTTTGTTTAAAAATTAGCATAAATAATTATTCAGTCAATTAATTAAAATCTTCTTGTTTTTGTTTTTATATAGAATGTAGTAGGAAGAGAACCTTTTATTTTATAACTTTCTTTGTACCAAAGCTGTCACTCTTTATATTAGTTTTTTTTTTTTGTTTTTGCTCTTACTTCCATACCGCCATATATTCTCACCGGCAAATAAGCAAACTGAAAGCACTCTCATTGGTCAAGTTTTTGCACAGGTTTTGTTGTTTTTATTATTGTTCTTTAAATTCGTTTTTTTTTTTTGAATTAGTTTCCGTTGTCGTCTTCATAATTTACTTTAGTTGTTCGTCACATGTTTGACTCTTCAAATCGTATTTAGTGGTCGTGGAAAATCTGTGTCGTTGCGGTTTTTATTTTTTGGGAAAAATTGAAAGATCGTGTATGAAAGTATTTTATTTTTTAAAAATATAAATTTCATTACATTTAATAATATAATAAAAGTGTTTATAATAGACGTTGTTTATGAGGGTGAAACAATTAAAAGTGTGATATTGATATAATGTATTTGCTATTGCTGCTTCCTTATCAAGCGTGCCAAACATTTGTGAAAAAAAAATTAAAAATTTTCAATTCATGTGCTTTTTAAATTAAAAATAAATTATCAAGTGATCAATTTATCTTAAATTAAATATATGAAAAACGTTTCCATTTATAATATTTAGGTGTGATAATTATAGAATTTTTATTCTTAAAAAAAGGAACTACATATACATATATACATACATACATATATGTTAAGAATAAAATGCGTATTTTATAGTTTTATTTTTGCAAATTGTACACTGTTTATTTTTTTAATTGCTATTTTAGAAAAAATAATTAAAATGAAAGGAATTTCAAAAATATACTTTAAAATTAAAGCAAAAAACATTAATGTGTTTTACAAGATCACAAAACAACGTGTATTGCGTTTCAAACGGCAGCAGTGGTGATTTTGCTATGACTTCACATCTGCGTCTCTTCTGCTCTCTCATGCTGCTTCTATTTACTAGTAACTATTGTTTGTGGTTAGGAGAATTAAATGTAAAACAAAAAAAAAGTGTGCGTAATATAAAATTATAGAAGGTTCTTTGTGAAAAATTTTAAGTAGCCCTTTGATAAGAAATTTTTTTATAATTTATTTATTTATTAGGTTAGCAACAGTTTTGCACGTAAATAACAAGAAATCTTAATGGTTCGAATAACAAATTTAGTTCTGTTATAAGAAAAATTAATTGATACACACGTATTTTAAATTTTTAATATATAACATACTTTGTGGTTTTTTATACAGTATCTCATGCAAATTTAGCCAACGCAAAAAATTTGGTAGGTGGGAAAATAGAAAATAAAAACGAAAACGAAGAGAAATGTAAAACTAAAACTAAAAGAAAATAAAATAAAATAAAATAATATTTTGCATAACAACAATTTCTTAGGTTAGCGTTTGCTTGTTTTGTTGTTTATTGTCTTTTAAATGGTATGGAAAAGTACGGCTCTTGAAAGAAAGATAATGCAAAGTATAGAAATGCAATATATTTTTCATGATCGTAGGGGATGACATTAACAAATAATAAAAGCGATATGTAATCAAAGAGTAAAAAATAAGATCGGTTAGGAAGCTGTTACTATTTTATAAGTTTATGGTTTTTTTTCCGTCTGTTAATAAATATGTATTAGAAATAAAGATATATGAAGTGTTATTGTAAAGATATAATATTTATATGTAAAACACAAAAATAATATATATAAAATGAAATCGATTAAGAAAATTATTTTTTAGTTAAATAAATTTTAATAATTTTTAGACTTTTGAACCATTTTTTCCGAACACATTTAAGTACGATAATAAATTGTTAGTTATTTTATTAAATGAAAGTTTTTATGCGACTACAGCTATTGATTGAAAAGTTGTTTTTATATTAAAGGTTTTTTGAAAAATTCTTGTAGGTTTTTCCTTGTCATACTAAATTGCCTGTACTATTGAAAATGGTACCCTTCTTGTATACGATTTTCAGTTTCAAATAGTTATCTACTTTACGACAAACACCAAAAAATATATCTAGGCCGTGTGCAAGTTCCAGTGAATTGATGGTAAATTGAGGGAAATAGTAAATTATGTCGGCATGGCAGCGAATGTTGGTATTTACCAGAATTTCGAGTAGGGTGAATTAGATAAAAATTAGGTAAATTAGGTATTACCACTGTGAAAATTTTGTAAGATGCTTAATAAATAAACAAATAAATTTGAAAAGTTTTAACCAAAAATAATAAATAAGTGCAATAAATGAATAAATAAATATTTACATAGGTGCAATGCAAAACACCTCTAGGAAATTTCAACTGACTACCTCAATTTACTCCAACTGGCACAAAGCTTTAATTTTTCCAATCTCATTCCAATAAATAGTAAAGATGGCTTGTTTACAAATTCTGGTATGCTTTTATTTCCAATTGAGTTAGGATCACATAATTGATAGAGGTAAGGGTGTGTTTGTTTAAACAAAAATTAGAGTTTAACAACCCTGAAATTTATAGAATTTGTTATTGTATTTATAACTTATATTTGAGATAACTGCAGTGATCGAATGAAGTATCTGATTGAAAGAAGCGCAAAATAAATGTTACGTACTCTTATTTTGTTAATTTGTTGAAAGCATGCATTGTTGTACGTAAAGTTTCTTTAATAATAAACACTTTAATTTATTTTTAACCGTGTTAAAAATTCTTTTTTTTTTATTTGCATAGCAAATGTAATAAAAATATAAGTGTAAAAGTGCGCTGTAAATGTAACTTTTATCGCTTGTGCATTGTCACATTTTCTTATGCAGAATGAGAACTTCTATAAAAATTCGTGTTGTTGGTGGTATCGCAAACAAAAATGTTTACCGGTTTTTGTTTAATTTAATTTTTTAGTTTCATTTTTAAAATATTTAATAGTTCTATATAGCATATTTTCTAAACAAAAAAAAAGTATGCTTAACTTTGCTTAAAATATGCGTCGTAAATAAATAAAAATAAATCACTGCCTAAATAAATTTATTTTGCGTGTGTTTCCAATATATATACATACATGTGTATGGTCACATTGTTTGTTTATATATATAATGTATGTATGCAATTAAAATAAGAGCAATTAAATAACACATTTTTTTTACATATATGCATCGATATGTGTTCATATGCCTGTATAGCGTAATGTCCAAAAAGAAAATGATTACAAAAACAAAACACGCGAGTACCATGCTTTGTATTGATTTGCACCTTTAAAGAATTTGCATAACCTTACAAATTTATTTAAAAAAAAAAAAAGAATCAATTCTTAATATGTATTAAAATTGTTTTTATATTCTTTATTTTTGTTTTTGCTATGTATGTAGATATTACATCATCTTACGTATTTTAATAGTAATCAGTGTTGGGAGAAAAGTGGGTGAAAGAAATTTAGCGGGATGGTGTAGGTTTATGTGCGCGTTATGGCAGCGTAAGGGGTTCACGTTATTATACATTAAATGCGCGTTTGCATATAGTATTTTCTAAAAACGCAAAACAAACAACATTTGACGAACAATCAACTATGATAAAGCTTAATCGAGTGATCAGCAAAAGAGAGAGAGAGAGATATATATGAAAGCAAATACGAAAACATTATTATAGTCATAAATTTAAAGAGCACCAGAGTTGAAGAGAGACCACTAACTTAAAAAAATATATAATATTGTTATTAATTTTACTGTATCTTTCACAGCAGCAACTAAATTTCGCCATAACGGCAAATATATATGAAATTAATTTAACGGTAGAACATTAACCAACGAAAAAAAAACAATATTTATTTAAGTATTATTATATATTTCGTAAACAAAATGTGTGTAAAAAATAATTAAATATTACAATAATAATATTTAATAAAAAAAAATAAATTTTGCTTTTTGCTATACATTAATAACATAATATATTAAAAGAAAATATTAAAAAAAATTATTTATCAAAAAAAATATAAAAAATAAATATTTTAAATAAATATTTTATATAAATATTTTAAATAAATATTTCAAAATTAAAATTGCAAATATTTCGTGATCGAAATATAACTGAAAAAAAAGTTGTAAAAAAATTTTTTTTGCCGGTTAGAAAAACGTTCCAACAGAAAAAAGTAAATACAAATATAACAACAGCAACAACAAACAGAAGGCATTTAACAAAATGGTTAATAATAAACTAAATAAACAGAGACAGCAACAAAATGTTGCTGCGCAAAAATTATTAACACAACAACAGCAAACACAAGAACAGCACCAGCTACAACAAACAAATGTGCTAAAAGAATTAAAAAACGTAAGCAACAAGATCAACAATAATAATGTAATTGTCCAAAATAGTAGTCAAAAAGCGAATAACGTAAATAAAAGTAACAATGGAAAAAGCAATAACAAAAATAATGATACGGCTAGTGTAGTACAAAAAAATCGTAATAATAACACTAACAAAACACAGAAGAAACAGAATATTGGCAGCAATAACAGTAAGAAAACACAATACCAACAACAATTACACCAACAACATAACATAAAATCGGATGCAAATATACGAATGACAAATAAGAATATGCAAATACAATGTGAAAAAAATAAGAATGATAAACAAAATAAAACCATCCGTGTGATCTCCAAAGCTTTTACCAATAGTAATGTAAATAATAATAATCAAAGTAGAAACACAAACAACAACAATAATAATTATATTAATAATAATAATAACAACAACAACATTAAAACTGACAATAATTATATCAAATCAAACAATGACAACTCATCAATTCCAGAAATTGCACAAAATGTAGTTAATTCAAATAAAAATAATGATAATGATAACGATAAAAATATAATTATTGATAAAAATGATAAAATTGTTGCAGTTAGTACTCAAGAAACAACAGATTCTAATGAAGCAGAGACGACACCAAACGAAACAACAGAATTAAAAAAATCCCCTGACGATATTTTAACAGCTGCACCAACGTGTGCAAAATGTTTAAAACCCACTTCGGCCTTGCCCTATAAGCAGTATGAACCCATATTGATTGTCAGTAGTAGTGGTGGTGTTAATAATCATAACAATGCCAAACAATATAGAAAGTCAAAGTCATATCTTGGTGGAGGTCGCAATAATAATAACAATAAGTCAACAGATAATCAACAGAGAAATGGTCAAGGTCGTAAAGAATATCATCGATCCTATAGTAGTTCATATGATCGTACTTTTGCTGAACGTAATAGAGATTTCGTACCAATATTACCGCCCGCAAAACCTGTGCTTTCATCATCAAATGTAGCAGCTGTCATCGTCGACTCAGATAAATTGATTATTGTCGAACGATGCGGAAAGGGCAGAATTTCGTATCCCATAATGCAGGTAAGTGATTTTATACATTAGCTAAATATAAGTTATATGTATTGTAACAGTTGGCCTATATTCAAGGCTGCTAACCCATTCCATAAATAATGTATAACGACCCATTTGCTTTAAGTCAACAGTTGTCATAATCGATGTTGACTTAAAGCTACTTTGAAGCGCATTATGACCAGAAACCCAAAGAGAGAAATATTAACTACGTCGAGATTGGTCTATACATATCTTAGCCGACTTTGATGTAGAGATAATTATGGGTTGAGTATCATTTTTCTTTCTGAGCCATACTTTTAAGCAATGAAACATACTAACTGCTTATTCAGCCGTGATAATCGTATTCTCTTTAGCTTCCATATTGGCTCAAGTATTAGCATATATCACTGGTAAATAAAGAAATGTAGAGATGGTCTCTTAAATCGTGTGCACATTGATTTACGGCAATGTATATTGTTTATACTATACAGTGCGGTAAAGAAATATGCAAAGACATGCAAACAGCTACGGTAGATTAAGTATTAGATTTGTCTTAAATTACAATTTAGTATTTAGTCCTTGAATTTTTCAAATTTTTTCGATCTTATTTTTCGCATAAATAAAATGGGTGTCTAGTAATGCTCATGTTGAACATGGAATTTATTTGTTTGTGTACACTAACTATTTTAATACTATTGCTGTTTATGAGTCATCAATGATTCATACGTCATATATGACTCATATATATTTTGCAGTGCAATTCAAAAACACTTCTAGAGTGTTTGAGAAAGCATTCCGAATTATGTCGTAAAATATCTTATCGTATCTAATCAACAGAAAACAAAAAAAAATATGTAAAAACACTGGTGACCAAGGAATATATTAATCAAATATAAAATGGTAATAATAATCTCATTATATGTATTAAAAACTACTTATCCGTATTTACTATGGATATATGGGGTACTTTCTATTTTAATAACTTTGTTAGTTAACCATTATTAAAAAATGATTACAATAGAAACATTACGCATTACGCCATCAGGAACATAATTTCTTTAGACATCAATATTTTATGTATATATAATTCAATTACTAATCAAGTCTTACAATACTGTAAAAATCAATATAATTTTTACTATTTTACCTATATAACCCTTAATATGATATTTTAATTTTTTATCTTATTTCAATGAGTTTGCAACTTTGGTTTTTACTGGGAACATCCGTTCTTACTTCCATTATCCGAACGAGGGAATATATTAAATTTTCTTTCGGTTTGGCTAGTCTTGAAATATAAGCAAACCTATAAATTTAAATATTTAAGTATAGTAAAGAGAAGAGGAATTGATTTTGAGTAAGCTCGGATTGTTAATCTTTGATTTTATAATAACATCGTTGTGGCTAGTACTTATAAATCGTAATTTTATTTAAATAGATATATTTAAGATACTTTGTTTTTATTTTAAGGAGAAATCGATTATTTGGAATTTTTTAGTCTTGATCTATCAACATTCGCAGTACCACTGTATTACCATGTTTTATAAAATATTGAATTTACGTATATTATTAAAGATAATAAATCTTATAGTATGTACTTAGCAAATATTATCTTCATATGAAACATGTTCAACGAATAGAAAGATGTACACTATAAATATTTTATGGATTCTAACTATCCACTGAGTAAAATGTATTTATTACATACATAAATTTTTTTATTATTTTATTAATTATTTTTCATGGAAATTGTTGATTTTATTTTATTTTTGACATGAGTGTATATTTTTTAATTTTATAATTAAAGTTGTGTAAATGTTTTAAACAATAAATTATTTTTGATTGAATGATTTTTTTTGTTTTGTTTCTGTTTATTGACCAAAATAGGTGTCTCCTAAAGCATTATGGCATTTAATATCAGAAAATAATAATAAATAATATTTTAAACATTTATTACAGTTATTAAGACAATAAATATATATTCATAAATAAATTAATTCAATTTCTTCTTGATAGAAGTATTACACAAATATTTTATTTTAGTTTTTTTTATTTTATTTTAGTTGAAATTAGTATTTTCCACTATACATTTAATTGAATTTTTTCAAAATCAATTAACTTCTGTATTACACATGATAACATCGTTCTTGTTGCATGTTTCTTTTTTTATTGTACATAGTTTTTGCATTTGCATTGCTGTTTCTTGATTTCTTTGATGCTTGGGACGCGAGGTTTTTTGAGTAGTGTTTGTTGTAAATAGTATAAGATATGTAGATTGACAGGATTTTAATTTATGATATATGTTACTGTTGTTATTTCAAAATTTAAAATATATGTATATATATATATATATATATATATATATATAATATATATAGTTGTTTTTGCTTACGATATCAAGCACTCCTGGAAAGCACATTTCAAGTCCAACGAGCTCAAGCTGCCCGAATATTACACTCCCTTCACCCGCTCATCAGCAGCAAAAAGCTCAACATAAAGAATAGAGTTAGCACATTTAAGCAAATTATTAAACCAGGACTACTCTATGGCAGTATAGCGTTGCGCCAAGCGCCAAGCTCAACTTTAAAAATTCTTCACAGAGGGCAAAATATTGCCTTAAGAAAACTGGTTAACGCCCCATGGTATGTAAGAGGAGCCGATATCCACAGAGATCTGAGAGTGGATTCAGTTGAAAAATAAATTAAAGATCGTGCTCTGAAACTGTTCAATACAATTGACAGTCATAATAATCCAACACTCAGTATCCTAAAAATACAGCGAAATTTGATAAACACAGGCAGATACAAAGACATCAGATCCATCATATTATAAAGCACCGTAAAGCCCCGTATTTAGTGTGACTTAAAACTGTCCACAGATAAAATAGAGTAAAGATGCTGATTCACCAACTCAGACATCTGAATATCAAGCGAATCTTAAAGTGTTTAATAAACAGACAAAGCTTAGTTTAAGAAAAAACCTGTGGTAAATCTCGTGTATACCAGCTTTAGGTCCGTTGCTGTTTTCTAGATGCTTGTTTTTTGATATTTTCCTCTCCCAATGATGTACTAAAAGTTATTACTAATAACTTATTACCAGTATATTATTAGCGCGAATTTCCATGGTACGTATGTGGAAATTCTTCGAGAGTTATTCGTGTTACTTTAACCAATCTTTAAAATTTTATGAGAATTTGGATTTCAATTAGTGACACAAAACCAATAAAAATATAAAGTTTTTAACTGTAGTTCTTTCAATTTTTAATGTATTATTTATGTATGTTAATTTCTCGAAATATTTAAAAATTGATATAAACTTAGCTTTACCGGTAAATATCATTGTTTTTAGCAGTTAATACTTGCTAATTCATAACTGAAAATATTAAGAGCTGGTATCTACTATTGTTACCAAGATAAGTACATCACGTATTTGAGAAAACTGGTATAATAATTTTTGATTTTTATTGCTCTATTGAAAATTTATTTTTACCGGAATAAACACGTTATATGAATATGCAAATTTGCATTTATGTATATAGTGAAACTAATAAATATAAAAAAAATTTGGAGACCATCAATTTACTTTGAAATACTGAAACTCGTTGCTTAACTAAAAAAATGTGCAGTTAATTAATTATTAAAATTGTTATTCAAATTCTAATTAAAATAAAATCTCTCACTAACAATCGTTTCATTCTTAATAGTAGTTGCTTAGAATAAATTACTTTTAAACGCGAAAATCGTTAGTAGATAAATTGCCTTTAATGTAGTTAGTAAATATTAATATTAAATATTTGATAAATGCTTAAATTAAAACTTAATTCATAAATTATCGGTTGCACGATATATAGTATGCAATATGCAGTTCTTGATTGAATGAAAAATGTTATTTGTTATTTTTTAAGTAATAAATTATTCAGAGTTAATGGAATTTCCCGTGATTTTACGAATTGTGTACTTTAAGCGCACTTAATCATTATTCAATAAGTGTTTAATGATAATAATATAAAGATAGTAAGTAGCAAGCTTAGTTGTAAAAGGTTTTTCACTCACTTCGTATATGGGAACATTACTTGATGCAATCCCATCTATGGTATAGTAAGGCATAGTTTCCTTAGTCTTTTGTTTTAACTTTTCAGTTAAATACGTTGAATTGACGATTTGAAACTGTCAAAGTTACATGATGCAGTCTTTTAATTTACTAGATCATGCCAATGTATTTCAGGTTATTTTTTTTTTTTTTTTCAAAAGAAGGATTGGGAAGTAGTCACCGCGTCACTGCATCCTCGAGGATTATTGTGACATACCCACTTCAGTTCCATAGACGAGTAACAGTTAAGAATGCCAGTATGTCCTTTGGAGAGATGTTGCCTAATTCCGTTATAAGCGGATAGGCAATGGATAAGTAGCGAAGTCTGAGTCTTGCAAGACTATCACAGTGACATAATATGTGTTGTGCTAGTAGTGCCAGGAGTGCCGATTTACTGTCAGAAAAGATATATATGTTTTTTCCTGTGATGGGCTTACCTTTATATACCCTGAGACATAATTCAATTGCGTGTACTTCAGCCTGAAAAACTGAATTTTCTTTACTCATACTCGCAAATATTTCCTCTTTAGGTCTTACTCCATATACTCCCGCCCCCACTCCTTCCATCGTTTTGGAGCCATCCGTGTACCACAGATGGTAGTCTCCAGCGAATGGAGGTATGTTCTGTTCCCATTCATTTCTGTCTTATTTCAGGTTATAGTTCCACCTATACATTTCTCCATTAAAATTTTTCATCATAATGAAATATTTGGTAGAAATATTTGTATATATTTTTAGTGATTATTTATCACAAAATATTGAATTCATAATGAAAAAATAATGAATTACATCGGAAAATATTTGGCGTAATTATTTAAATGGGCTACAGAGACACGAGTGCTTATAATTATATTTATATCTCTTTGGTATCTCTCTAGCATTTACTGAACTGGCTAAACAAATAGAATACTTTAAAATGGTGAAGTGAGAGGGTCATTAGA